TTCAAACTGGAGGTACAAGGTCCATTCAGTACCCGTTCTGGTGTATATGGAATATATACACTGTGTTTTGTATACATACCTCAAACTGGAGGTACCACTGCTGAGGTCCATCTTGCCCTGGATGAACATCTCCAGCATCATGACAGGTCCTCATCAACATAATGCTGTTGTGATGAAACCTGATTTATGTTTGATCTGATCTTCGAATTTACTTGATGTGTTTAATCTAATTTGGTCACATCTCATGATGTGCCATGTTTCCAAGAATTATATGGTCAAGAAGACAGGCGTTGGACCAAGGGACAAATACTGCAGTGTATGGACAGCAGACTCGACTTGGAAGGGGTTAAAAATAGATCAACAATAATGACACATAGCAACAGTTTGCTTTGCCAAATGGTGAGAATCAGACCCAGAGTGTTAATGAGTATGTCTCATGACAGGATCAATATTGATAGAAGCTGCTATCCCTGCTGGTGTATAAGGAACATATAAACATTGTATTGTATACAGACCCACATGATTGGCGGGGGTGAAATCATCAATACACTTCAGATGAAGGCAAGGCTTTCTGGTCTGGGGATAGTTTATGTTGCTTGCTCTAGTTCTTTGCTGGATCAGCACAGCAGGGATACATGTGTCTCTGTGCACTTTATGTTACACATCTTTTATTGAAGAAAATATTTGTGCTAATAAGAGGTTAACATGTTAAAAATGTGCCCAATTTTGTCATGCTGAATGTTTTACCTATTAGTTTAGTACAGTTCTCTCCCCTTGCTGACAATGCACCTGTAGATGTGGCTACATTAGAACCCTCCACTTGCCAATATCAGTGATATCGCACTGCCTGGCTACTGTGGTGTACCAGATGGGGTCACTGCATGCTATTCTTCAGCCTTATCAGGCAGAGAATGTTACATGTTAAATCTTGAGCTAGGCTAACATCTCGTCTCTGAAATGAACATATTTTGCCGAAAAGAAACAGTTGTTAAATTATAGTTATAGAATATAATGAAAAGGAGTCCAGAGACTCTCTTCACTTTCAGATTCTGCAGTAAAATCTAGACTTGCCAAAGATTATAGACTTGCATGGGCTGTATTGGATATATTTGTTTCCGGGTCTGTATGGCAGACTAAATCTTCAGCCATGAAGTCACACATGTTTTCGTTGCTGGCCTCCTGGAGATGGTTTGTCCTGAAGGTGGATGAAGCTGGCCGGGTTTTCCTCAGTCCCAGCTGATCATGTTGGGTGCTGCATGTCATATATCAGCATCAGTGCAGAGGCTTCCTCCCACAGCTTAAGAGTGCTGTTTGAAGCACAATGTGTTTGAATATTTTTAGCGTTATCGAATGATAAAAACTTGTTAAAAGTCTGAAGTTTCTATGAGACTGACAACAGATGTGAAGATTCTATTTACATAGAAGTAGATATAAGTTCAGCATTTGTGAAATGGCCTCAAAGTGAGTATTGCCTCAGTTGAGTGTGGCCCAGCATCAAGTGGAGTGAAAGATCGGATGGCAGCAAGTATACATCCTACATGTTGAAGGAATTGTCTTCTCAAAAAAAACATTTTTGGCAATGAAAATTTGAAATGAACCCTATTTCGCTTAGCATGAAGGTTTCACATGGTTACTGTAGGATTCATGTGGTTACTGTAGGATTCACGTGGTTGCTGTAGGATTCATGTGGTTACTGTCGGATTCACATGGTTACTATAAGATTCACATGGTTACTGTAGGATTCACGTGGTTACTGTAGGATTCATGTGGTTACTGTAGGATTCATGTGGTTACTGTAGGATTCCTGTGGTTACTGTAAGATTCACATGGTTACTGTAGGATCCACGTGGTTACTGTAGGATTCACATGGTTACTGTAGGATTCATGTGGTTACTGTAAGAATCACAAGATTACTGTAGGATTCTAGGATAGTTGAAAGCAGTGCATCGTCAAGGAACACCAGCAGGAAGCCAGCTTTCCAGGCAACCTGTTTTCTGGTCTGCCTGTCACCCTGCAGGTCTCATCACAGTGGTTAGAGTAGAAGGGTTTTACTGATGTCTCCGTCCTTAAGAGAGATGAGCGAAGGTGAGTTAGGTGATGGATGCAGTTGATAATGGCTGGCAAAGGTCGATATCCAAATTAACGCGTACCAGAGTAGGTGAATGAGTAGCCAGGTAGCCTGCCAGGTGAATGAGTAGCCAGGTAGCCTGCCAGGTGAATGAGTAGCCAGGTAGCCTGCCAGGTGAATGAGTAGCCAGGTAGCCTGCCAGGTGAATGAGTAGCCAGGTAGCCTGCCAGGTGAATGAGTAGCCAGGTAGCCTGCCAGGTGAATGAGTAGCCAGGTAGCCTGCCAGGTGAATGAGTAGCCAGGTAGCCTACCAGGTGAATGAGTAGCCAGGTAGCATACCAGGTGAATGAGTAGCCAGGTAGCATACCAGGTGAATGAGTAGCCAGGTAGCCTGCCAGGTGAATGAGTAGCCAGGTAGCCTGCCAGGTGAATGAGTAGCCAGGTAGCCTGCCAGGTGAATGAGTAGCCAGGTAGCCTACCAGGTGAATGAGTAGCCAGGTAGCATACCAGGTGAATGAGTAGCCAGGTAGCATACCAGGTGAATGAGTAGCCAGGTAGCATACCAGGTGAATGAGTAGCCAGGTAACCTGCCAGGCGAATGAGTAGCCAGGTAGCATACCAGGTGAATGAGTAGCCAGGTAGCATACCAGGTGAATGAGTAGCCAGGTAGCATACCAGGTGAATGAGTAGCCAGGTAGCCTACCAGGCGAATGAGTAGCCAGGTAGCATACCAGGTGAATGAGTAGCCAGGTAACCTGCCAGGCGAATGAGTAGCCAGGTAACCTGCCAGGCGAATGAGTAGCCAGGTAGCATACCAGGTGAATGAGTAGCCAGGTAGCATACCAGGTGAATGAGTAGCCAGGTAGCATACCAGGTGAATGAGTAGCCAGGTAGCATACCAGGTGAATGAGTAGCCAGGTAACCTGCCAGGCGAATGAGTAGCCAGGTAGCATACCAGGTGAATGAGTAGCCAGGTAACCTGCCAGGTGAATTAGTAGCCAGGTAGCCTGCCAGGTGAATGAGTAGCCAGGTAACCTGCCAGGTGAATTAGTAGCCAAGCTCGAACTTCTCCAAGTGTCAGTCTGATGTTGCCATCTCCAAGTGTCAGTCTTGTGTTGCCATATCTGGTGTCATCTCGCTTCCGCTTCATGCATCATATTTCTGCCTGCCATCCTGCCTGTACATTCATTACACACGGTAAAGGTGTGACTGTTATGGCAATTTCCACATCCAATACAATGCAGCACGGTGATACAGATTGAGGAGGAGCACTGATGAGCGATTGATTTGAATTCCTACTAAAGACCTTTGACTATGTTATTGGTGACTTTATCAATACTAGTAAAGCTGAGCATTAGGACCATGTTGAAAGGCTGTATGGAGCCGGTGTGATAATGGTCCAGTTTCCATGTTCAGTGTGTACTTGGAGCTAACACGTCTTTAATGATGAGGCGTGTGTGAGGTCGGCGGTGTTCTTCCTGTCTGCAGTGTTCTTCCTGTCTGCAGTGTTCTTCCTGTCTGCAGTGTTGTTCCTGTCTGCAGTGTTGTTCCTGGTGTCGCTAATGAGACACACGGAGCCCCCAGCAAGGTTGGCCGTTGTTTTGACATCTAGTGCCAGACATGCAGCATCATTAGCTGGTCGCCCAGGCCTTGCCAGCTCCCAGGGTCATCGGGGAAGGGCTGCCCTACCTGGGGCACCAACTGAAATCACATCTCACACTTGGCATTTCTTCATAGTTGATAGATGTGCAAGAAGACAACATGGTCGCTCTGGATTATCTGGCTTGAGACAAGAGTTGGACGTCCACAGCACTGTCTCATAGACCCTTACACAGCATGGAGTACTCAAGGAGTCTCCCACAGTGTACCATAGTGTACCGCAGTGTACCATAGTGTACCACAGTGAGCTACAGTGTACCACCGTGTACCATACATAGTTCATGTGGAAGAACCTTGTCTTTTAGTAACAATGTGCAGTACAATGGCCTGAGTTTGTGTTTGTGTGAAGAGCGATGATGGAAACATAATGGCTTACGTCCAACGTTGTCAGTTGACATACAAGTCTGTTTGTACAAGTACATCAGGACGAGATGACTTCAGAGATGCCTGGGGTCCCATGCATACATTGAGGCTGACGATGATGTCAATGGTTTCCCTCCTGATGTCGTGAGTGTCCTTGACGGCGGATACACTCACGACTCACTGTGACTGGTTGGGATTCCACATCAGAACCCTGGAACTTAAGTGTCTTTCTGCAGTGAGATACACTATAATGGATATCGTAGGGTGTATTCTTCACTATCTCTGTCCATGTCGTAAGTTGTCCAAAAGGCGGGCACAATATCGTCTTCATCACAAGGTAAATCTATTCATGGTTTTGTGAGATGTTTTAGTCATGTTAACATAAGTAATACATGAAGGAGACCTTGCATTCTCCACAGGATATGCTTCATGAAGATTGAGTGCAAGGGTTGTGTTATGTCTCATTGCACTGTAGGTGAAAAATACTTATTGACATTGATTGCTTGAGGGCTCTTTCTCTGCCCTCCCCCCTCCCCCTGGAGCTGAGTGGTGTTATCTGGAGGGAGGGCTCTCAGACAATGTGTTGGTAGTCAGCCAGCAGGCCCAACAATGCAGCACTTATCTCGATGTTCCAGCTCAAGTAGACGCAGACCTGTACAAGGGCTCTTGTATCTTCCCAACTCACTAACTTCTCAACTTATTGACATCAGACGTGATTGTTGTGATTAATGATTTGTTTGTTTCACTTAACCCTGACTTTTTGCTTCAGGTGGCCCGATATCACCATCATGATGAGAAGGAATCAAGTCAGAGAGCATGTCTATTTTAAACCATCTGAGCACAAAACAAACCAACATCACATTATCTCAACATTGTATGACAAATTTTCACTCCAAACTTTCACTTTCAGGAGCAGGCGGAACAGGGGCAAAATGTGGAACAGGCAGTTACACCTCAGGTTGTCATGGTTACCAATAAAGCTCCATTGGAATCCACCAATGAAGAACCAGAACCAGCTCAAGATATTGAAATACCTCCACCTATGGAAATTCAGGACCACACCTTCAAGGCGGCCCAGGAACCACCAATGGAAGAAGTCAGTACTAAACTGGTAGGTGTAGAAGCTGCAGCCAGCTGATATCTCACCCACAAATGATACTGTGACGTAAACAGCCGCCACCCCAGAAAATGATTTAAATTGTGTCAAAACTTCAAATGCCACCCATTGACATTATTGTTGTAATACATTTAGGTTATTGCACTTGAAGTGAACTGATACATGTTGATAGTCCATAAAACTTCCTGGTCTCACCAGTCATGCACTGTGTTGGTAGTCAGGTCTGCCTGTGATAAACAATGGTTCACACATCCAAGTCAGGTGTCCTAACACCAGCAGCTGTTGAACATGCCCAGGGCAGGTGTCTGAACACTAGCTGCTGTTGAACATGCCCAGGGCAGGTGTCTGAACACAAGCAGCTGTTGAACATGCCCAGGGCAGGTGTCTAAACACAAGCAGCTGTTGAACATGCCCAGGGCAGGTGTCTGAACACTAGCAGCTGTTGAACATGCCCAGGGCAGGTGTCTGAACACTAGCAGCTGTTGAACATGCCCAGGGCAGGTGTCTGAACACAAGCAGCTGTTGAACATGCCCAGGGCGGGTGTCTGAACACAAGCAGCTGTTGAACATGCCCAGGGCAGGTGTCTGAACACTAGCTGCTGTTGAACATGCCCAGGGCAGGTGTCTGAACACTAGCTGCTGTTGAACATGCCCAGGGCAGGTGTCTGAACACAAGCTGCTGTTGAACATGTCCAGGGCAGGTGTCTGAACACAAGCAGCTGTTGAACATGCCCAGGGCAGGTGTCTGAACACAAGCAGCTGTTGAACATGCCCAGGGCAGGTGTCTGAACACCAGCTTCTGTTGAACATGCCCAGGGCAGGTGTCTGAACACCAGCTGCTGTTGAACATGCCCAGGGCAGGTGTCTGAACACCAGCTTCTGTTGAACATGCCCAGGGCAGGTGTCTGAACACTAGCTGCTGTTGAACATGCCCAGGGCAGGTGTCTGAACACCAGCTTCTGTTGAACATGCCCAGGGTAGGTGTCTGAACACAAGCAACTGTTGAACATGCCCAGGGCAGGTGTCTGAACACCAGCTGCTGTTGAATATGCCCAGGGCAGGTGTCTGAACACTAGCTGCTGTTGAAAATGCCCAGGGCAGGTGTCTGAACACAAGCAGCTGTTGAACAGGCCCAGGGCAGGTGTCTGAGTACAAGCTGCTGTTGAACATGCCCAGGGCAGGTGTCTGAACACCAGCTGCTGTTGAATATGCCCAGGGCAGGTGTGCTTGTGTTTCATTTGCCCAATGCAAGGATTTACATGGATCTTTCAGTGTATGATTCCTGTGGACTCACTGTAATGATTTTGGGGGGTTACAGGGGTGAAAATGGGTCATCCAGATTACAACTGTCTCAACAAAAAATGAAATATTTTATATTTCTGTATCAAGTAAAATGAACTGAATGATTATGTGAATAAAATGACATTGAGACAGGGAATCCATACAACAGTTACGTGCATGCTGCCAAGGCCACCACTGAATTGGCTTTACTGATTCCAATATCCATACTTTGTGACACACAGAGCATCCATTCTGAAATTGTACACATATAGGTTGCAATATTTTACTTTAAAGCAGACCCGTGAAGATCTGGGTAGAAAAGGTCTTCAGCAACCCATGCTTGCCGTAACAGGCGACTTTGCTTGTCGTTAGAGGCCACTAACGGGATCAGTTGTTCAGGTTCGCTGACTTGGTTGATGCATATCATCGTGTCCCAATTGCATGGATCGATGCTCATGATGTCAATCACTGGATTGTCTGGTCCAGACACGATCATTTACACACCGCCGTCATATAGCTGCAATATTGCTGAGTGCGGCGTTAAACAACAAACCAACCAACAACTTCTAAGCATCGTCTATAGGAATATTTATTTATTTCAACACCATATGTTCATAAGAAAGAAGTATCTTATCTTGTCTGTGTCCTCTGATGGAAGCATGGGTTATGGAAGTGTCCTGCTCGTCATCCCTTGTCCCACTCAGACACTGACCCATCTGTACGTTTTGTGTCCGCTTCAGGCATCCACGCTGTCCCTCAAGCAGCAACAGCAACAGCAGCAACAACAACAGCAACAGCAGCAGCAGCAGCAGCAACAACAGCCTCCGGTTGAGGCAGGTGGAGCTACGGACTTGGCCACTGAGATGGAAAACATGATCTTCCAAAGAATGGTGAGTCACTGTCACAATCTTTACCTTGGAGCAGTTGACATGTAGTTGTGTTGTGGTGAGGCTCTGGTAGTTAGAATATGTTAAAGTGTGTCAGTCTGATGTACGGCTCTGGTAGTTAGAATATGTTAAAGTGTGCCAGTCTAATGTAAGGCTCTGGTAGTTAGAATATGTTAAAGTGTGACAGTCTGATGTAAGGCTCTGGTAGTAAGAATATGTTTAAAGTGTGTCAGTCTGATGTACGGCTCTGGTAATTAGAATATGTTTAAAGTGTGTCAGTCTAATGCACGGCTCTGGTAGTTAGAATATGTTGAGGTGTGTCAGTCTGATGCTTGGCTCTGGCAATGACACTGCATTGTTTTCCAGGACCAGCCTACAGAGGTGGTTCCCAAGTCGGACAGTGGGCCAGAGGATGAGGATGACAAGTCGGCTGGGGCCGATGCAGAGGGGGACAAGGCCAAGTACCTCAAGAAAAGACAGTGAGTTATTGCCTCTATTGACAGGCCATGCATTGCTGGGTCAGGTTTGGACATGTCTGTTACACATCCCTGATTGGCCCCATGGCAGAACAGGTGCCCTCCTGCCCCTTCTTCTTGAGTGTGTCCTGGCCTTGGTTGGCCACAAGGACTGCATGACTGGTACTTGCATGGGATCCTACCAGGATAAGGGGCGGTGGGTAGCCTTGTAGTTAAAGTGTTCGCTCCTCACACAGAAGACCCTGGTTCAATTCCCAACATTGGTACAATGTGTGAGGCCCATTTCTGGTGTTCCCTGCCATGTTTTGCTGGAATATTGCTAAAAGCGGCATAAAACAATACTCACTCACTTGCATGGGATCCCACCAGGAATGGTAAATTCTCATGTCCAGATTACATGGATTGTCTCCCACTCTGCCAGTCACTTGTCAGGATGGATATATGGATATTCCCTTAACTATTGGGCAGTTTGGTGAGGACTGCAGGACTAGTGCCAAATTCTAATGCTGATTGTGGTAGACATTTGGACTGTGGTTGTGTTGGGCTGATGTTCATGTGAGGTTGTGTTTGCTGTTTCAGATTTGTCCTTCAGGAGCTGGTGGACACAGAGAGGGACTACGTGAAGGACCTTGGATGTGTCGTGGATGTGAGTAGCGGACTCCATGCTGGGTTGGGGTTCAGTTTGGGGTCAGGTCGAAGGCAGGATGACACCATAGCTACACTGAGACACTGGGAGTTGTATGTGGGATCGTCCGGTGTAGTGGCGTTACTGGAACATTACACTCTGTACCTGTCTTCAGTACCAAGAGATCATCTGTTGTATAACATGGAATGCACAATATTTTCATAATTACCATTGGTTATATTGTTGATTTTCTATAGCATGTATCTAATCAAGTCTCGAGACCCGTGAAGATCCGGGGTAGAATAGATCTTCAGAAACATATCCTTGCCATAACAGGCGACTAGGCTTGTCGTAAGGAGCGACTAACGAGATCGGGTGGTCATGCTCGCTGACTTGGTTGATGCATGTCATTGTATGCCAATTGTGTGATCGATGCTCATGATGTCAATCACTGGATTTTCTGGTCCAGACTTGATTATTTACAGACCGCCATCATATAGCTGGAATATTGCTGCTGAGTGTGGCGTTAAACAACAAACAAACAATACAAAAACCAAGTCTCGATTGGTTGCTTGTTTTAGGGCGACGGAGATGTAAGTGTTTCCTCTGTTGTAGGGTTACATGACTATGATGAAGGAGACGCCGTTACCCGAGGAGGGCAAGGATAAGATCATCTTCGGCAACATCCACCAGATCTATGACTGGCACAAAGAGTAAGTCACACTTTGCTGGCCAGTACAAGTTAGGTCTAATGTATGATTCAGAGAAGGAGAAAGATGTCTTAATGTGAATGAATTTACATGGTGGGTGTTAGATTCAGGCGGTAAGTGACAGGTACCAGGTCCCATTGACTCATGGTCCTCGAATAGCTGCCCCGCCCATGAGTCTGTCTTTGGTTCAGACTCCAACTAAACTAGCTAGATTAGCATCACCAGAAAACCTTTTACTGTATATCATGAACATGTGGCTATTGGGGTTGTTTCCCTTACACGGAGTACACTGTGAGGGTCTACCTGAGTTACACTAGGTCCACAGAGAAGTGACAGACATAGCGTTTGTCTGTCATACAACCTTCAGTTATAAACTGCATTGATTTTGTTGCAGGACGTTCCAACCTGAAATTGAGAAGATTTCCGACGAGCCAGAGCGACTTGGAATGATCTTTGTGAGATATGTAAGTGTACATGCTAACAAGTACCTCCGTTCAGCTATGATGTGTGATGTGTGGCACTGTGTTCTGTGATCTGTGATGTGTGACACTGTGATGTGTGATGTGTGACACTTTGTTCTTTGATCTGTGATGTGTGGCACTGTGATGTATGACACGGTGTTCTGTGATGTGTGACACTGTGTTTTGTCATCTGTGATGTGTGACACAGTGTTCTGTGATCTGTAATGTGTGACTGTGATGTGTGACACTGTGTTCTGTGATCTGTGATGTGTGACACTGTGTTCTTTGATCTGTGATGTGTGGCACTGTGATGTATGACACGGTGTTCTGTGATGTGTGACACTGTGTTTTGTCATCTGTGATGTGTGACACAGTGTTCTGTGATCTGTAATGTGTGACTGTGATGTGTGACACTGTGTTCTGTGATCTGTGATGTGTGACACTGTGTTCTTTGATCTGTGATGTGTGGCACTGTGATGTATGACACGGTGTTCTGTGATGTGTGACACTGTGTTTTGTCATCTGTGATGTGTGACACAGTGTTCTGTGATCTGTAATGTGTGACTGTGATGTGTGACACTGTGTTCTGTGATCTGTGATGTGTGACACTTTGATCTGTGATGTGTGACACTGTTATGTGATCTGTGATGTGTGACACTGTTATGTGATGTGTGGTGTGTGACACTGTTCTGTGATCTGTGATGTGTGACACTTTGATCTGTGATGTGTGACACTTATCTGATCTGTGATGTGTGACACTTTGATCTGTAATGTGTGACACTGTTATGTGATCTGTGATGTGTGACACTGTTATGTGATCTGTGACACTGTTATCTGATCTGTGATGTGTGACACTTTGATCTGTGATGTGTGACACTGTTATGTGATCTGTGATGTGTGACACTGTTCTGTGATGTGTGACACTGTTCTGTGATCTGTGATGTGTGACACTGTTTTCTCCCTGCAGGAGCGGAGGCTCTACATGTATGTCAAGTATTGTGAGAACAAGCCGAAGTCAGAGTACATAGTTGCTGAATACGTAGAAACTTTCTTTGAGGTAAGTACACAAAATTCAGTTCTTATATTTTCTTTTATTTAAAAAGCGCATATATGTTTGACTGGAGCTGCACTGTCCATGTAGGGAAGTAAGTTATTGAAAGGTGGAATCCACTCCATCAATTTCAGGATTACAAATAAGTGGCAGAGATAACCCCTCTCTGAGATCATTCTAATCCTGATATGAATTTAGAAGAAAAACATCTGCTCTCTCTTTTTCTGCTACGAGGCTTATGTATCAGAATGTGATCGCTACTGCTGTGAGGCTAATCTGTCAGAATGTGATCGCTACTGCTGTGAGGCTAATGTATCAGAATGTGATCGCTACTGCTGTGAGGCTAATCTGTCAGAATGTGATCGCTACTGCTGTGAGGCTAATGTATCAGAATGTGATCGCTACTGCTGTGAGGCTAATGTATCAGAGTGTGATCGCTACTGCTGTGAGGCTAATGTATCAGAATGTGATCGCTACTGCTGTGAGGCTAATGTATCAGAATCTGATCACTACTGCTGTGAGGCTAATGTGTCAGAATGTGATCGCTACTGCTGTGAGGCTAATGTATCAGAATGTGATCACTACTGCTGTGAGGCTAATGTATCAGAATGTGATCACTACTGCTGCAAGGCTATTAATGTATCAGAATGTGATCACTACTGCTGTGAGGCTAATGTATCAGAATGTGATCGCTACTGCTGCAAGGCTATTAATGTATCAGAATGTGATCACTACTGCTGTGAGGCTAATGTATCAGAATGTGATCGATACTGCTGCAAGGCTATTAATGTATCAGAATGTGATCACTACTGCTGTGAGGCTAATGTATCAGAATGTGATCGCTACTGCTGCAAGGCTAATGTATCAGAATGTGATCACTACTGCTGTGAGGCTAATGTATCAGAATGTGATCACTACTGCTGTGAGGCTAATGTATCAGAATGTGATCGCTACTGCTGTGAGGCTAATCTGTCAGAATGTGATCGCTACTGCTGTGAGGCTAATGTATCAGAATGTGATCGCTACTGCTGTGAGGCTAATGTATCAGAGTGTGATCGCTACTGCTGTGAGGCTAATGTATCAGAATGTGATCGCTACTGCTGTGAGGCTAATGTATCAGAATCTGATCACTACTGCTGTGAGGCTAATGTGTCAGAATGTGATCGCTACTGCTGTGAGGCTAATGTATCAGAATGTGATCACTACTGCTGTGAGGCTAATGTATCAGAATGTGATCACTACTGCTGCAAGGCTATTAATGTATCAGAATGTGATCACTACTGCTGTGAGGCTAATGTATCAGAATGTGATCGCTACTGCTGCAAGGCTATTAATGTATCAGAATGTGATCACTACTGCTGTGAGGCTAATGTATCAGAATGTGATCGATACTGCTGCAAGGCTATTAATGTATCAGAATGTGATCACTACTGCTGTGAGGCTAATGTATCAGAATGTGATCGCTACTGCTGCAAGGCTAATGTATCAGAATGTGATCACTACTGCTGTGAGGCTAATGTATCAGAATGTGATCACTACTGCTGTGAGGCTAATGTATCAGAATGTGATCGCTGCTGCTGAGAGTTTAATGTATCAGAATGTGATCACTGCTGCTGTGAGGCTAATGTATCAGAATGTGATCACTATTTGGTTCTTATCCCAGGATCTGCGTCAGAAGCTCGGCCACAAGCTCACATTGCCAGATCTCCTTATCAAGCCAGTCCAGAGGATCATGAAGTACCAGCTCCTGCTGAGGGTAAGTCTCCTCTCCAATGTAACACTCCCATCTCCCATCTCACCCTCCACACTCACACCAGACTTATCTCACCCTCCACTCATACCAGACTTTATCTCACCCACCACTCACACCAGGCTTTATCTGACCACCACTCATACCAGACTTTATCTCGCCTCCACACTCACACCAGACTTATCTCATCCTCCACTCATACCAGACTTTATCTCACCCACCACTCACACCAGACTTTATCTCACCACCACTCATACCAGACTTTATCTCGCCTCCACACTCAGACCAGACTTATCTCACCCTCCACTCATACCAGACTTTATCTCGCCTCCACACTCACACCAGACTTATCTCACCCTCCACTCATACCAGACTTTATCTCGCCTCCACACTCACACCAGACTTTATCTCACCACCACACTCACACCAGACTTTATCTCGCCTCCACAGTCACACCAGACTTTATCTCACTGTTCACACTATCACTAGTCTTTATCTCACCACCACCCCCACACTCACACTAGTCTTTATCTCACCACCACCCCCACACTCACACTAGACTTTATCTCAACCTCCACACTCACACTAGACTTTATCTCACCCCCACACTCACACTAGTCTTTATCTCACCACCACACCCACACTCACACTAGACTTTATCTCATCCTCCACACTCACACTAGACTTTATCTTATCCTCCACACTCACACTAGACTTTATCTCACCCTCCACACTCACACCAGACTTTATCTCACCCTCCACACTCACACCAGACTTTATCTCATCCTCCACACTCACACCAGACTTAATCTCACCCTCCACACTCACACCAGACTTTATCTCACCCCCACACTCACACTAGTCTTTATCTCACCCCCCAAACTCACACTAGACTTTATCTCACCACCACACTCACACCAGACTTTATCTAACCCTCCACACTCACACTAGTCTTTATCTCGCCTCCACAGTCACACCCGACTTATCTCACCCACCACTCACACCAGACTTTATCTCACCACCACACTTACACCAGACTTTATCTCACCCCCACACTTACACCAGACTTTATCTCATCCTCCACACTTACACCAGACTTTATCTAACCCCCACACTCACACCAGACTTTATCTCACCACCACACTCACACCAGACTTAATCTCACCCTCCACACTCACATTAGTCTTTATCTCGCCTCCACAGTCACACCAGACTTATCTCACCCACCACTCACACCAGACTTTATCTCACCACCACACTTACACCAGACTTTATCTCACCACCACACTTACACCAGACTTTATCTCACCACCACACTTACACCAGACTTTATCTCACCACCACCCCCACACTCACACTAGACTTTATCTCACCCTCCACACTCACACCAGACTTTATCTCACCACCACACTCACACTAGACTTTATCACACACCCCAAACTCAAACAAGACTTTATCTCACCACCACATTTACACCAGACTTTATCTCATCCTCCACACTCACACCAGACTTTATCTCGCCCCTAAACTCACACTAGACTTTATCTCACCACCACATTCACACCAGACTTTATCTCACCACCACACTCACACTAGACTTTATCTCATCCTCCACACTCACACTAGACTTTATCTCACCACCACATTCACACCAGACTTTATCTCATCCCCCACACTCACACCAGACTTTATCTCATCCTCCAAACTCACACCAGACTTTATCTCACCCCTAAACTCACACTAGACTTTATCTCATCCTCCACACTCACACTAGACTTTATCTCACCACCACATTCACACCAGACTTTATCTCATCCTCCACACTCACACCAGACTTTATCTCATCCTCCACACTCACACCAGACTTTATCTCACCCCTAAACTCACACTAGACTTTATCTCACCACCACATTCACACCAGACTTTATCTCACCCCCAAACTCAAACAAGACTTTATCTCACCACCACATTTACACCAGACTTTATCTCATCCTCCACACTCACACCAGACTTTATCTCATCCTCCACACTCACACTAGACTTAATCTCACCCTCCACACTCACACCAGACTTTATCTCACCACCACACTCACACTAGACTTTATCACACACCCCAAACTCAAACAAGACTTTATCTCACCACCACATTTACACCAGACTTTATCTCATCCTCCACACTCACACCAGACTTTATCTCGCCCCTAAACTCACACTAGACTTTATCTCACCACCACATTCACACCAGACTTTATCTCACCACCACACTCACACTAGACTTTATCTCATCCTCCACACTCACACTAGACTTTATCTCACCACCACATTCACACCAGACTTTATCTCATCCCCCACACTCACACCAGACTTTATCTCATCCTCCAAACTCACACCAGACTTTATCTCACCCCTAAACTCACACTAGACTTTATCTCATCCTCCACACTCACACTAGACTTTATCTCACCACCACATTCACACCAGACTTTATCTCATCCCCCACACTCACACCAGACTTTATCTCATCCTCCACACTCACACCAGACTTTATCTCACCCCTAAACTCACACTAGACTTTATCTCACCACCACATTCACACCAGACTTTATCTCACCCCCAAACTCAAACAAGACTTTATCTCACCACCACATTTACACCAGACTTTATCTCATCCTCCACACTCACACCAGACTTTATCTCACCCCTAAACTCACACTAGACTTTATCTCACCCTCAACGCTCACGCCAGACTTTATCTCACCACCACATTCACACCAGACTTTATCTCATCCTCCACACTCACACCAGACTTTATCTCACCCCTAAACTCACACTAGACTTTATCTCACCCTCAACGCTCACGCCAGACTTTATCTCATCCTCCACACTCACACCAGACTTTATCTCCCCCCCCAAACTCACACTAGACTTTATCTCACCCTCCACACTCACACCAGACTTTATCTCACCACCACACTCACACTAGTCTTTATCTCACTGTTCACACACACCAGTCACCCTCAACGCTCACACTAGACTTTATCCAATCCACCACATCCACAACATTAGTGAGACCACCAGTTGTGATCTAGTGGTAGAGCGTCCGCTAAGAGAGCAGAAGTTCTGGGGTTCGATCCCCGGCCGCGTCATACCAACACACACATGTATGCATGTCGCTTTTATAATCTTTGACGCGACTTTAAACCCCATTTCACCTCACCCACAACATTAGTGTGGTCTGTGCTAGAAAGACTGTGCTGTTTTCAGGACATAGCCAAGTACACAGAGAGAGCTGGACTGGATGTGTCGGACCTGAAGAAGGCCCTCCGAGTCATGAATGTCGTCCCCAAGGCCGCCAATGATATGATGCAGGTTGGAAGACTGCAGGGCTTTAATGTGAGTAAACCCTGGGCCAAGTTGGTATTTAGTTTCAGCGACCGACTCCGTGGTCTAGTGGTAGAGCGTCCGCCCGGAGAGCGGAAGGTCTGGGGTTCGATCCCCGACCACGTCATACCAAAAGACGTTAAAAGATGGTACTTGTTGTTAACCTCGGCATTAAGGGGCTAAAACAAGGACTGGTCGGCTCGGAGTCAGTATACTGTGTCTGAGTGGGGTATTCATGTTAAACTGCGGCATGGTATCTCAGTGAGCTAGCACTATAAATCGGCATCAGTCCGGACTAGTACAAGCAGCCACACAAACACACACACTTACATGCACGTCGCTATATAAGTGCAATAATCTTGGACGCGACGTTAAACCCCATTTCACCTCACCTCACCTCTTAGTTTCAGCAAACAACCAGGTCTAGCTGGTTCCTGACAATAGAATGTTCATTATAGTGTGACTGTATAGGGGGTGTGGTGAAGGGTACGCTGTGAGACCTATGGGTTGTGTTGTGTGTTGCAGGGTAAGCTGTGAGACTTATGTTGTGTTGTGTGTTGCAGGTTAATCAGCGAGACTGATGGGTTGTGTTGTGTGTTGCAGGGTGAGGTGTGAGACTTATGGGGTGCTGTGTTGTGCAGGGCGAGGGGTGAGACTTATGGGCTGTGTTGTGTGTTGCAGGGTGAGGTGTGAGACTTATGTTGTGTTGTGTGTTGCAGGGTAAGATCACTGCCCAGGGCAAGCTACTGCTGCAGGACACGTTGCTTGTGTCGGAGATTTCAGGGACATCAGGACCACAGAAGTTCAAGGAACGGCGGGTGTTTCTCTTTGAGCAGATCATCATCTTCAGTGAGATGACGGAGAAAAGGAAAGGAGATTTCTCCAATGCCAACTATGTGTTCAAAAATAGTGTCAAAGTAAGTCAGTGAAGTTTGCCGAGTTTCCTTGTTATCAGTGTTGGGTTGAGGATGGAGCAGATTCATTGTTGTTATTTCCTTGAGATTTGGTTTGGTCTCAGACTCCAAATAATCCAAGTCTCACTGCTGTCCTTTGCATGATATTTGATCATTTAATGATTTTTACATTTCACAAGTTATCTGTCAATGGGTCATCAGGTTCTATCCCAAAAGACATTAAAGATGGTACTTGTTGTTACCCTGCCTGTCGCTCGGCATGAAGGGGCTGAAACAAGGACTGGTCAGCACAGAGTCAGTATATACTGTGTCTGAGTGGAGTTTTCCTGTTAAACTGCGATATGGTATCTCAGTGGGCTAGCACTATAAAATCAGCATCAGACCATTACAAGCAGCCACACACACGTGCATGCATGTCACTTTGTACGTGCAATAATCTTGGACGCGACGTTAAACCCCATTTCACCTCACCTATGGGTCATCGGTTTCAGGTCAACAAGATGTCAATGTCTGAGAATGTGGAAGGAGAACCCTTCCGCTTCGTGCTGGTGGACCGGACCCCAGGGTCTGACATGAAGTTTCACACCCAGGCCCCATCAGAAGAGATCAAACAAACCTGGATCAGGGAGATCAAGTCCATCCTCGACATGCAGGGCGACTTTCTCAGAGGTAGGGCTGAGGCTACAGCATGGGTTCTGTGTATAGATTAGTTGGCAGTTTGATATCCATTCAAACAGAACTGAATGATATGATGTGTTACTATACTCACTGTGGTACACATGACATGATGGCGGTGTCTCCCATAGACAGCGGGGCATATATCACTGAGACAAGATGGTGGCAGGGCATATATCACTGAGACAAGATGGTGGTGGCGGGTGTATTTCCCATAGACAGTGGGGTTTATATCACTGAAACAAAATGGTGGCAGGGCATATGTCATTCAGACAATATGGTGGTGGCAGAGCATATGTCATTGGGACAAGATGAGAGTGGCTGTTGTCTCCCATAGACAGCAGGGCATATATCACTGAGACATGTGGTGGAGATTGGGTATATGGACATGTTGTGGCAGAGATTGGGTATATCGACATGTGGCAGAGATTGAGTATATGGACATGTTGTGGCAGGGATTGGGTACATGGACATGTTGTGGCAGAGATTGGGTATATGGACATGTTGTGGCAGAGATTGGGTACATGGACATGTTGTGGCAGAGATTGGGTATATGGACATGTTTTGGCAGAGATTGGGTATATGGACATGTTGTGGCAGAGACTGGGTATATGGACATGTGGCAGAGATTGGGTATATCGACATGTTGTGGCAGAGATTGGGTACATGGACATGTTGTGGTAGAGATTGGGTATATCGACATGTTGTGGCAGAGATTGGGTATATCGACATGTTGTGGCAGAGATTGGGTATATGGACATGTTGTGGCAGAGATTGGGTATATGGACATGTTGTGGTAGAGATTGGGTATATCGACATGTTGTGGCAGAGATTGGGTACATGGACATGTTGTGGCAGAGATTGGGTATATGGACATGTTGTGGCAGAGATTGGGTATATGGACATGTTGTGGCAGAGATTGGGTATATCGACATGTTGTGGCAGAGATTGGGTATATCGACATGTTGTGGCAGAGATTGGGTACATGGACATGTTGTGGCAGAGATTGGGTACATGGACATGTTGTGGCAGAGATTGGGTACATGGACATGTTGTGGCAGAGATTGGGTATATGGACATGTTGTGGCAGAGATTGGGTATATCGACATGTTGTGGCAGAGATTGGGTACATGGACATGTTGTGGCAGAGATTGGGTATATGGACATGTTGTGGCAGAGATTGGGTATATCGACATGTTGTGGCAGAGATTGGGTATATCGACATGTTGTGGCAGAGATTGGGTATATGGACATGTTGTGGTAGAGATTGGGTATATGGACATGTTGTGGCAGAGATTGGGTACATGGACATGTTGTGGCAGAGATTGGGTATATGGACATGTTGTGGCAGAGATTGGGTATATGGACATGTTGTGGCAGAGATTGGGTATATCGACATGTTGTGGCAGAGATTGGGTATATCGACATGTTGTGGCAGGGATTGGGTACATGGACATGTTGTGGCAGAGATTGGGTACATGGACATGTTGTGGCACAGATTGGGTACATGGACATGTTGTGGCAGAGATTGGGTATATGGACATGTTGTGGCAGAGATTGGGTATATGGACATGTGGCAGAGATTGGGTACATGGACATGTTGTGGCAGAGATTGGGTATATGGACATGTTGTTGCAGAGATTGGGTATATCGACATGTTGTGGCAGAGATTGGGTATATGAACATGTTGTGTCTCTGTTTCAGCCCTACAGTCCCCCATCGCCTACCAGAAGGAACTCACCAAGGAGATGTAAGTGTGACTCCCTCTCCTGCCTCTCCCCTATTCCATGGTAGAACTGGTTTGACCCCAGAAATGTATTCTTTTACTTTTGTTAGGGGCAACTGGATGGATTGGGTGATGACTCGGTGACATAGTTGAGTGCATGTCAAGGTACCCCGATTGCTAAGGACATTTCTCATGATAACATTAAGCCCAGACTCGATTACTTACAAGCTGCTCTAATATAGCTGGAATATTGCTAAATATGGCGTTAAACAAAGAAACAAAATCATTATTCTCTTACCTCCATCGGTCTTGGCATTGTGTACATCTGGTACTCCCAGGGAGTCTTACTTCAGGCCCAATTGTGGTCATCCTCAGATGCTTATGTAAATATGATGCTTAAATGCAGGGTGTGTAAGCAACTCGCCCAAATAAATGAAGAGGAGTGGTTGTCCTACATCATGTCTGATCCTCCTCATCTTTCAGGTCTGCTCCTGAGTTCGGTAGCCTGCCCCGAGAGTCAGCATTACGGAAGACACATTCTCACCCACAGCAAGCAAAGGGTGTCAACCCCATTGCAACCAAATCAAAAGGTGGTCGTCATGACAGTAAAAAGCATGAACGATGTAAATCAGTTCCCGCACCCCTACCTGAGCTCCCTGCTGAGGACGCATCCAAGTCATCTTGCCCAAACTCTCCGATTGAAACATCGAAAGATCCTACAAACCCTGACAGAAAACTTGGTGATGGTGGTGCTAAGAAAATGAGTGCATCTGGTGGAACCACCCCTAGCAGTGAGACGAGTTCAGGGGTGGCTGGCTCACCCAAGCCAAAAAAGACAATATTTGAAGGATTTCGCAACACCCTGGGTAAAAAGAATAAAACTGATAGTGTTGGAAACAGCAGTAACACTGGCGGGACTCGGTCCCCCGAAGTTTATGCAAATACGCATTCAATGCCCGATGTTGTACAAGACAGCGATGGTGGTAGGACTATTTCTGCTGGTTCCGCTGAACCGTGTGCGGGTGCGAAACAACTCACGGATAGCCCCGGCTCCGAACAGAGCCCGGTAAGTGAGCCCGGCCATGGGCTTTTGAATAGGTGATGAAGTGTGGCCTCGTGGGAAGGATGTACGTTGCGTTTTTATAACTGTTGAATGTCTGTCTGTACCCTGTCCGTCTTAGTGTGAACTGGGAGCTAGGCAGACATACTCTGGCAGACACCCGCCCAATCCTCACCCGACACTTTCCCGGTCGAGTGAAGTCACGATTGGTTGAAATGCCCTGTATCAACTGCTGCATGCGGCCATGTTTAATATCTACTCTGAGTTGATCTTTCTTCTAGAAATTACCAGTATGCTCGTTGATTCGCTCTTCGCTCACTCATTCTAACAGCCAAAGGTTGACCGGCCAGTTCTAATCGTCTCTGCTACAGATGACAGAGTGACAGAAACAGGAAAGCTAATTTACATATCATCGTGAATATTTGTTTGCCTTCTGATTGGCTGTAGCAGTAGTAAACTATGAGGGACTGTTTCGCTGATTGGCTGGAATGTAGTAAACTATGAGGGACTGTTTCGCTGATTTGCTGGAATGGGTCGCTATTTCAGGGAACCATTTGCTCAGCTTAAGGTCAACAGAGGTCATGACCCGATGACCATGACCTTTGTGATCAATGGCATTGACTTAAATTTCCTTGGATTGCGCGTGTTGGATACATAACATTTTCACCTCTAGAGTCTGTGATGTCAGGTCAGAGTTGAGACTCTCGAAGACTATAATCAATGTCCACAACTAGGATTTAAGAAATATTGAGTTTCATTGAGTTCATTTTTTTTGTTTTGCCTTTGTTCATATGTGTTAATTTCATTTTGTAACATGTCTGCTCGTGTGTGTCCTGTAGAGGACATGGTCAGGAGAAAAAACTACTTCCACGTGGATTCCTGTTTATCTTGGATTGAGTAAATCTTGCAAATATGTATGTTCAAAATAATCATAAGTGATATGAGTAGTGCTGAGTAAACAATCTTTGCTGGAGGAGTCGTTTGAGCATGGTACGTCTCAAGAGCTGAGGACATTCTCAAGGGGACGGAGGGTGCTCAGGGGCTGTTGCAACCAGCCCCCCCCTCCATATGTAGACACAATCTCAGCTGTTGCAACCAGCCCCTCATATGTAGACACTATCTCAGCTGGCGCTAGTCAGGCTGTTGCAACCAGCCCCCCCTTGTCTGTAGGTCTGCATGTGAGAATGACATAACTCCACTTAAACTGGCCGGCCACGCAGTACCACATGACCCGAAATATAGAATATTAATGAATATTTACATTACATTTACCTATGATTCATGGTGATGATGAATGTGCCCAGCAGTGGCGAGTACTCCTGATCTGTGTAGCTATGTGTAGCTGGAGGGCAGTACCAGAATCTGTCAAGAAAAAACATTAAACACTGTGTCATTCTGTAGGAGAGAACAACTTGGCTTGTTGTGATTGCATAATAGTGGTGCATTTTATACCATACATCCACCCCAACCCCCAACCCCCAACCCCCAACCCCCAACCCCCCACCACCACCACCCCCAACCTGACCTGGTATATCTTATACCATACATCCACTCCACCCCCCCAACCTGACACACACACACACACACACACACACACACACACACACACACACACACACACAGAACTGGTACATCTTATCGTAAATATATTTTCTTGAGTATATTGCACACTGTTTTTCCCTAAAACACAGCTGTGCAGAGGGGTATGGGTTTTTCCCAGCGCAAAGAAACGACATTACTGTGAGTTTGTAACACCGGAAAAAAACATGTCAACAAATCCAAACTGAAGTACGCAATTTAATCCTGAATCAGCTGTCTGGTCATTAAAAGTGTTCATGGTATATCTGGACTTATATCTGTAATCTACCTTATTAACTTTATTCAAAATTTTGTTCAATATTGTTTACATAAATTTCAGTGAGATGGTGAGTGGGGTTATCGGCAGATTGCCTTAACTTACACTGTTATTTACAGCAACCACGATCGGGTTGATGCTATTGATGCCTTGGAACAAACTTTAGTTGACACAGAATGGATATAAATATCATAAATGCCATGTTTCGACTTTTTAGAAGTCATATTTGTTGATTCTTATATGTCAGCATAATGTTTTCATGACTGCGACTGTGGGAGCCTCGACGGTGACTGGTCAAATTGTTCCATGCATAACAAATATCCGGTCATAGCAATCTTCTGTGCCAAAGTGCTACACTTGTGGTTATCATCTGAAATATTTGTAGTAAAAGCTGCGGCTAAAATACCACGAGATTAAAATATATTATTCCTGATAAAATAATAGTTTCAGATACAATTCTTCCTATCTGTGCATCAAAATTCTAAAATTTATAATATTGGGTATGTTTTAACTGAATCACTGGCAGATTGGGACAAACTGTATGTACAGCTGATTGCTATTTCCGGTTCAGTTTACAAGATAATACTCACAGTAAACTTAATCTCTGCATAGAAAATAATGCCTATCAGAACAGGAAATACAGGAATTTACTTTGGTAAATCAATATTGTCTAGTGATGTTTTATTTCAAATTTCAAATTTATTGACTGGTATCAACTGTTCATTTTCCTAAAAAAAATTCTCTGCATAAAATTCGAAAAAACTTCTTATTTTCAACAACCCTGAATCCTCAAGATGGGGCGTTTTGCTTGTGTGCGCACTATACTCAAGATAATATGGTATAGCCCCCACTCATGACCTGTTACTGTACCTGGTATAGCCCCATCAGTCAACTGTCCTTGTCCCTGGTATAGCCCCATCAGTCAACTGTCCTTGTCCCTGGTATAGCCCCATCCATCAACTGTACTTGTCCCTGGTATAGCCCCATCCATCAACTGTGCTTGTCCCTGGTATAGCCCCATCCATCAGCTGTACTTGTCCCTGGTATATCCTCATCCATCAACTGTACTTGTCCCTGGTATAGCCCCATCCATCAACTGTACTTGTCCCTGGTATAGCCCCATCCATCAACTGTGCTTGTCCCTGGTATAGCCCCATCCATCAACTGTACTTGTCCCTGGTATAGCCCCATCCATCAACTGTACTTGTCCCTGGTATAGCCCCATCCATCAACTGTGCTTGTCCCTGGTATAGCCCCATCCATCAACTGTACTTGTCCTTGGTATAGCCCCATCCATCAACTGTACTTGTCCCTGGTATAGCCCCATCCATCAACTGTACTTGTCCCTGGTATAGCCCCATCCATCAACTGTGCTTGTCCCTGGTATAGCCCCATCCATCAACTGTACTTGTCCTTGGTATAGCCCCATCCATCAACTGTACTTGTCCCTGGTATAGCCCCATCCATCAACTGTGCTTGTCCCTGGTATAGCCTCATCCATCAACTGTGCTTGTCCCTGGTATAGCCTCATCCATCAACTGTGCTTGTCCCTGGTATAGCCCCATCCATCAACTATACTTGTCCCTGGTATAGCCCCATCCATCAACTATACTTGTCCCTGGTATAGCGCCACCAGATTTCCCCCAACGGGTATTTCATAATAACTGATGTTGCATCCATGTGTTGCTGCCAAAGTCAGGACTCTAACTTGTGCTCTTTTTATACCATAGGAACTGTAAATATCGTTATTTTTACTGATGTGAATTTTGTTCATAAGTTTTTTTGCTTTACAATGTAAATTTTTAAAAATTATGCAAATTTCAAGTGCTGAGTAAGCCCCGCGAATTTTGTTTGATTTGAGAAATTGACTTGGATTGTTCAAAACAGTTCATATGTGTATGGTATATGTTGCTTCCCTTGCTTGGAAGCCCAGAGGTATTTAAATATTTATATATTTAAGATCTGTAGTTTCTAGACAATGCGAGATGATTTTGCTCAAGTTACCAAACCATGGTATCAAAGTCCAAATTTCTTACTACAAGCTTGTGGGTATTGTTCTTCCTTTCATGGACATTATCCTCCATTGTTATGAGGTATCTTGTGATGTGGCATAGTAGGCCCTAGAATCAGTCGTAATTTCTAAACCGACATCATTCAGTCTTCACACTGATTGGTCCGTTCTAGTCACATGTTCATCTCATTGTTTCATTTTTTTGTAAATTCTCTTTAATCTGTGTATAATTTGTGTAAATTTAGGAAAAGTTTCACAGTTCATTATGTTTTTGTTAACTTAAGGATTGCCTACTGTAAACCTTCTAGAGACAGTGTGATGTATGGGACCTGTTACAGTGTAGAAAGCGTCATTGCATAGTGATCTGTGCTCTTTTAAAATAATACATGCCAAATTCGACCTACGTAACCTCGATCAGCTGTAGTGGTCAGTGGACGCAGTGGTCAGTGGACAATAACACGTGTATGTATGTAAGCAGTGGCTAGAGTAGTCCTGACATCATGTAGAGTTCATCTATTTTCTTGTCTTGATAAATTTCAAGGTGATCCAAGAGGTGAGTTCCCTGTGTCTTCCTGCTGACAACTTCAACTCACTCACTCACTCACTGTGCGCCTACACAGCTAAGTAGCCTACTTTACATTCAGCCTACTTTACATTCAGTCTACTTTACATTCAGTCTAGCTTTTTCTCACAGCCTAATTCCGTAAGTTTAAAGTCATAATTGTGCATGTTTTTATGGCGAACATTTTGTGTTCCATGCAACTATTAGCGCCTATGTAAAGCTGTAGTTTGAGGGATGGCGCCGTGTTACCGATTCTTCCTAAGTTCTTCCACCTGTCCGATCTGGCTACTGAGACGAGTCGGGGCTGGTGAGTGAGTGAGTGAGTTGAGCCTCCAGCCTTCTCTGTGTTGAGATGCTATGTTATCAGTGAGGACAGTTTGGCATGTGTGATTTTAACAGCAACTTGACACTCATTCATCTATCTGTTCTTACATCTTCAAATTGTTTAGTTCTTAGCATGAAGACTTGGAAAATTCTCGCAACAATAGATCCTATATTTGCATATGCGAATTACATGAATGTATGTCTCTTAGATGTCAACAATTATAATTGGCAGAAAATAAACTTATTGACCAATTGAAGTTGATTTTGGGTCTTTAGTTATGAATTTTCTCTTATGCATGATTAGACATTTCTAACAATGTAGACGACTCTCACTTAGAATGTAGTAGGTTTCAGCACGAGTAGACAGTCATAGATATGTATGCATTTGTGTGAAGCCAGGCATGATCTATGCATGCAGGTAGACAAGTATAGCAAGTGTTCATTCAAGGGCAGTTGCAACATTTTTTTTTGCGCTTTTTTACAACAATCTCTTTCAGTTTCTCATTATGGTGTCACTGCTTCTGTCAATGCATTACTTTTATATACAGAGTTACTTCCCCCTTAATGTTGTATTAAATATGCCCCTATATTCAGTTCAATCTGACTTTGTCTAAGGTTGGCTACTAAAATGTTCCTCAACATTTGCTCGTCAACTAGAATTAATAAAGAAATATATGTTGCCAAGTTCATGACAGATGTTGGCTTATTGTGATGTATGTGGAGAGGTGTCTGATATCACATGATATTCTGTAAGTTAATTATACAACACCAAGAGTGTGACGATGATCAGTGACATGTAACAGGATTTATTACTGGGTCAAGTGACGATGATCAGTAACATGTTAAAGGATTTATTACTGGGTCAAGCGACCATGATCAGTGATATGTTACAGGATTTATTACTGGGTCAAGTGACAATGATCAGTGACATGTTACAGGATTTATTACTGGGTCAAGTGACGATGATCAGTGACATGTAACAGGATTTATTACTGGGTCAAGTGACGATGATCAGTGATATGTTACAGGATTTATTACTGGGTCAAGTGACGATGATCAGTAACATGTTAAAGGATTTATTACTGGGTCAAGCGACCATGATCAGTGATATGTTACAGGATTTATTACTGGGTCAAGTGACGATGATCAGTGACATGTTACAGGATTTATTACTGGGTCAAGTGACGATGATCAGTGATATGTTACAGGATTTATTACTGGGTCAAGTGACCATGATCAGTGACATGTTACAGGATTTATTACTGGGTCAAGTGACTTAAAATGAAAGGACAGTTGTGTGGTCAGTTTTGTTTACTGTTTGGGTCTAAATGTTAAGTTAAATCAGCAGATAACATAGGATCTAGTTAAAGTTGCTCATCAGAGGCAGGTGATACACAGTTATTCCCCAGCCCCTAGCCTCACCTTCATGTAAACGTGCAAAGAAATGGCAGCCCGCCCCAATCCCCCCTCGCCCCTACACAGTATCATATCACACAAACATGAAAGGGGGTTCCTCCACTCCTGTGTTGCTTTCCTTGTTGACTGTTTGTACATTGTCACCTGGGCGTGGCCATCACACCAATATGTAGACACCTTGTGTCCATCACACCAATATGTAGACACCTCGTGTCCATCACACCAATATGTAGACACCTCGTGTCCATCACACCAATATGTAGACACCTCGTGTCCATCACACCAATATGTAGACACCTCGTGTCCATCACACCAATATGTAGACACCTCGTGTCCATCACACCAATATGTAGACACCTCATGTAAATACTCATGCCTCTCAAGGACACTTCACAAGCACATCCTATGTCTATACCTCATGGCTCTCAAAGACAACTCACAAGCACATCTTATGTCTATACCTCATGGCTCTCAAAGACACCTCACAAGCACATCTTATGTCTATACCTCATGGCTCTCAAAGACATCTCACAAGCACATCTTATGTCTATACCTCATGGCTCTCAAAGACATCTCACAAGCACATCTTATGTCTATACCTCATGGCTCTCAAAGACATCTCACAAGCACATCTTATGTCTATACCTCATGGCTCTCAAAGACACCTCACAAGCACATCTTATGTCTATACCTCATGGCTCTCAAAGACATCTCACAAGCACATCTTATGTCTATACCTCATGGCTCTCAAAGACATCTCACAAGCACATCTTATGTCTATACCTCATGGCTCTCAAAGACACCTCACAAGCACATCTTATGTCTATACCTCATGGCTCTCAAAGACAACTCACAAGCACATCTTATGTCTATACCTCATGGCTCTCAAAGACAACTCACAAGCACATCTTCTGTCTATACCTCATGGCTCTCAAAGACAACTCACAAGCACATCTTATGTCTATACCTCATGGCTCTCAAAGACAACTCACAAGCACATCTTATGTCTATACCTCATGGCTCTCAAAGACAACTCACAAGCACATCTTATGTCTATACCTCATGGCTCTCAAAGACAACTCACAAGCACATCTTATGTCTATACCTCATGGCTCTCAAACACAACTCACAAGCACATCTTATGTCTATACCTCATGGCTCTCAAAGACAACTCACAAGCACATCTTATGTCTATACCTCATGGCTCTCAAAGACATCTCACAAGCACATCTTATGTTTATACCTCATGGCTCTCAAAGACACCTCACAAGCACATCTTATGTCTATACCTCATGGCTCTCAAAGACACCTCACAAGCACATCTTATGTTTATACCTCATGGCTCTCAAAGACACCTCACAAGCACATCTTATGTTTATACCTCATGGCTCTCAAAGACATCTCACAAGCACATCTTATGTCTATACCTCATGGCTCTCAAAGACACCTCACAAGCACATCTTATGTTTATACCTCATGGCTCTCAAAGACACCTCACAAGCACATCTTATGTTTATACCTCATGGCTCTCAAAGACACCTCACAAGCACATCTTATGTTTATACCTCATGGCTCTAAAAGACATCTCACAAGCACATCTTATGTCTATACCTCATGGCTCTCAAAGACATCTCACAAGCACATCTTATGTCTATACCTCATGGCTCTCAAAGACACCTCACAAGCACATCTTATGTTTATACCTCATGGCTCTCAAAGACACCTCACAAGCACATCTTATGTTTATACCTCATGGCTCTCAAAGACACCTCACAAGCACATCTTATGTCTATACCTCATGGCTCTCAAAGACACCTCACAAGCACATCTTATGTTTATACCTCATGGCTCTCAAAGACACCTCACAAGCACATCTTATGTCTATACCTCATGGCTCTCAAAGACATCTCACAAGCACATCCTATGTCTATACCTCATGGCTCTCAAAGACACCTCACAAGCACATCTTATGTCTATACCTCATGGCTCTCAAAGACATCTCACAAGCACATCTTATGTCTATACCTCATGGCTCTCAAAGACATCTCACAAGCACATCTTATGTCTATACCTCATGGCTCTCAAAGACATCTCACAAGCACATCCTATGTCTATACCTCATGGCTCTCAAAGACACCTCACAAGCACATCTTATGTCTATACCTCATGGCTCTCAAAGACACCTCACAAGCACATCTTATGTCTATACCTCATGGCTCTCAAAGACATCTCACAAGCACATCTTATGTCTATACCTCATGGCTCTCAAAGACATCTCACAAGCACATCTTATGTTTATACCTCATGGCTCTCAAAGACATCTCACAAGCACATCTTATGTTTATACCTCATGGCTCTCAAAGACATCTCACAAGCACATCCTATGTCTATACCTCATGGCTCTCAAAGACACCTCACAAGCACATCTTATGTCTATACCTCATGGCTCTCAAAGACACCTCACAAGCACATCTTATGTCTATACCTCATGGCTCTCAAAGACATCTCACAAGCACATCTTATGTCTATACCTCATGGCTCTCAAAGACATCTCACAAGCACATCTTATGTTTATACCTCATGGCTCTCAAAGACATCTCACAAGCACATCTTATGTTTATACCTCATGGCTCTCAAAGACATCTCACAAGCACATCCTATGTCTATACCTCATGGCTCTCAAAGACACCTCACAAGCACATCTTATGTCTATACCTCATGGCTCTCAAAGACATCTCACAAGCACATCTTATGTTTATACCTCATGGCTCTCAAAGACATCTCACAAGCACATCTTATGTTTATACCTCATGGCTCTCAAAGACATCTCACAAGCACATCTTATGTTTATACCTCATGGCTCTCAAAGACATCTCACAAGCACATCCTATGTCTATACCTCATGGCTCTCAAAGACATCTCACAAGCACATCTTATGTCTATACCTCATGGCTCTCAAAGACACCTCACAAGCACATCTTATGTTTATACCTCATGGCTCTCAAAGACACCTCACAAGCACATCTTATGTTTATACCTCATGGCTCTCAAAGACACCTCACAAGCACATCTTATGTGTATACCTCATGGCTCTCAAAGACATCTCACAAGCACATCTTTTGTCTATACCTCATGGCTCTCAAAGACACCTCACAAGCACATCTTATGTTTATACCTCATGGCTCTCAAAGACAACTCACAAGCACATCTTATGTCTATACCTCATGGCTCTCAAAGACATCTCACAAGCACATCTTATGTCTATACCTCATGGCTCTCAAAGACATCTCACAAGCACATCTTATGTCTATACCTCATGGCTCTCAAAGACATCTCACAAGCACATCTTATGTCTATACCTCATGGCTCTCAAAGACCGCCTCCGTGGTCTTGTGGTAGAGCGTCCGCCCGGAGAGCGGAAGGTCCAGGGTTCGATCCCGGGCCGCGTCATACAAAAAGACGTTAAAAGATTGTACTTGTTGTTACCCTGTCTGGCGCTCGGCATTAAGGGGCTAAAACAAGGACTGGTCGGCTCGGAGTCAGTATACTGTGTCTGAGTGAGGTATTCATGTTAAACTGCGGCATGGTATCTCAGTGAGCTAGCACTATAAATCGGCATCAGTCCGGACTAGTACAAGCAGCCACACACACACATACACGTGCATGCACGTCGCTATATAAGTGCAATAATCTTGGACGCGACGTTAAACCCAATTTCACCTCACCTCATGGCTCTCAAAGACACCTCACAAGCACATCTTATGTTTATACCTCATGGCTCTCAAAGACAACTCACAAGCACATCTTATGTTTATACCTCATGGCTCTCAAAGACACCTCACAAGCACATCTTATGTCTATACCTCATGGCTCTCAAAGACACCTCACAAGCACATCTTATGTTTATACCTCATGGCTCTCAAAGACAACTCACAAGCACATCTTATGTCTATACCTCATGGCTCTCAAAGACATCTCACAAGCACATCTTATGTCTATACCTCATGGCTCTCAAAGACATCTCACAAGCACATCTTATGTCTATACCTCATGGCTCTCAAAGACATCTCACAAGCACATCTTATGTCTATACCTCATGGCTCTCAAAGACACCTCACAAGCACATCTTATGTTTATACCTCATGGCTCTCAAAGACAACTCACAAGCACATCTTATGTCTATACCTCATGGCTCTCAAAGACATCTCACAAGCACATCTTATGTCTATACCTCATGGCTCTCAAAGACATCTCACAAGCACATCTTATGTCTATACCTCATGGCTCTCAAAGACATCTCACAAGCACATCTTATGTCTATACCTCATGGCTCTCAAAGACATCTCACAAGCACATCTTATGTCTATACCTCATGGCTCTCAAAGACATCTCACAAGCACATCTTATGTCTATACCTCATGGCTCTCAAAGACATCTCACAAGCACATCTTATGTCTATACCTCATGGCTCTCAAAGACACCTCACAAGCACATCTTATGTCTATACCTCATGGCTCTCAAAGACATCTCACAAGCACATCTTATGTCTATACCTCATGGCTCTCAAAGACAACTCACAAGCACATCTTATGTCTATACCTCATGGCTCTCAAAGACATCTCACAAGCACATCTTATGTCTATACCTGCTGCACACTCTCACTAGGCTCACCTGTAAGTGTTTCTTTTTGTAGCTAAGTGAACACAAGCAAACACACACAAACAATGAATGAGCTATTCTTGAAGATGTATTTGCAAATTCAAGAAATAGGCAAACTCTAAGCACACACAGTTGGCACGCTACACCGCGATTTGTGATTCAGTGCAGGGCTCTGTGATTCAGTGCAGTGATTCAATGCAGGGCTCTGTGATTCAGTGCAGGGTTCCCAGTGATTCAGTGCAGGGTTCCCAGTGATTCAGTGCAGGGTTCCCAGTGATTCAGTGCAAGGCTCTGTGATTCAGTGCCGGGCCCTGTGATTCAGTGCAGGGCTCTGTGATTCAGTGCAGGGTTCCCAGTGATTCAGTGCAGGGTTCCCAGTGATTCAGTGCAGGGCTCTGTGATTCAGTGCAGGGTTCCCAGTGATTCAGTGCAGGGTTCCCAGTGATTCAGTGCATGGTTCGCAGTGATTCAGTGCAGGGTTTGCACTGATTGCAGTGATTCAGTCCAGGGCTCTGTGATTCAGTGCAGGGTTCCCAGTGATTCAGTGCATGGTTCGCAGTGACTCAGTGCAGGGTTTGCACTGATTGCAGTGATTCAGTCCAGGGCTCTGTGATTCAGTGCAGGGTTCACAGTGATTCAGTGCAGGGTTCACAGTGATTCAGTGCAGGGTTCCCAGTGATTCAGTGCATGGTTTGCAGTGATTCAGTGCAGGGTTTGCGTCAGGAGAGGGGCTGCCTTAATTGACTGACTTCAGATGATGACTGAGATGATATTTCAACATAAACAAACTTGTTGAAAAAGGCAAAGAGTGACTGATGTTTGTAGTGTGTTTGGAAGGAACAGATTGCCGCTGCAGGGCCAGGGACCATGGCAACACAGAAACCTCATAATCCTCGTAAATAATATACCTTGGAATTCACTTTGTGCTTAAACATAAGTCATTGAAAGAAAGATTGAATCAGCTTGGCTGTGTACTGACTGTGTGTGCTGTGTGATCAGTTCACACACTATCTGTGGCCGACACTGAAGGAGGTGGAAGTTGTACAGACCCTGACAATAACTGCGGCAGGTTCTCTCAAGGCAGTTCTCACAAAAGTAGCTGGTCTGGACTTTGACGCGTTCTTGTCGTCCCTGTGCAGGTTTTGTGTGAGATTTTCTATGCCGATATAGTGCAAGATTCTCTATGCCAGTTTTGTGTAAGATTCTCTATGCCGGTTTTGTTTAAGATTCTCTTTGCAGATTTTATGTAAGATTCTCTATGCCAATATTGTGCAAGATTCTCTATGCAGATTCTGTGCCAGATTCTCTATGCAGATTTTGTGTAAGATTATAGGTGCCAATATTGTGTAAGATTCTCAATGCAGGTTTTGTGTAAGATTCTCTATGCAGGTTTTGTGTAAGATTCTCTGTGCGGATATTGTGTAAGATTCTCTGTGCCGATATTGTGTAAGATTCTCTGTGCCGATATTGTGTAAGATTCTCTATGCAGGTTTTGTGTAAGATTCTCTATGCAGGTTCTGTGTAAGATTCTCTATGCAGGTTTTGTGTAAGATTCTCTGTGCCGATATTGTGTAAGATTCTCTGTGCTGATATTGTGTAAGATTCTCTATGCAGATTTTGTGTAAGATTCTCCATACAGATATTGTGTAAGATGATCTATGTGTTAGATTCTCTATGTTTAAGATTCTCCATGCAGATATTGTGTAAGATTCTCCATGCAGATATTGTGTAAGATTCTCTATTCAGGTTCTGTGTAAGATTCTCTATGCAGGTTTTGTGTAAGATTCTCTATGCAGATTCTGTGTAAGATTCTCCATACAGATATTGTGTAAGATGATCTATGTGTTAGATTCTCTATGTTTAAGATTCTCCATGCAGATATTGTGTAAGATTCTCCATGCAGATATTGTGTAAGATTCTCTATGCAGGTTCTGTGTAAGATTCTCTATGCAGGTTTTGTGTAAGATTCTCTATGCAGATTCTGTGTAAGATTCTCTGTGTGGATATTGTGTAAGATTCTCTGTGCGGATATTGTGTAAGATTCTCTGTGCCGATATTGTGTAAGATTCTCTGTGCCGATATTGTGTAAGATTCTCTGTGCCCATATTGTGTAAGATTCTCTGTGTGGATATTGTGTAAGATTCTCTGTGCTGATATTATGTAAGATTCTTGTGCTGATATTGTGTAAGATTCTTCATGGCACTGTTTTCCACAAGTAACATCCAGCAGAAATTTACAGTCAAAGATGTATCCCTGCCTACAGCATGTAATAAGCATGTAATGTGTGGTATTTCTACAATCAGGATTAGAATGTATCAATATTTATCAAGTGGGGTTACATGGTAGATTCCTCCTCTCCTGTGACAGTGTTTATTGCTCAGTAAACAACACCAGGATATTATGACCAGTTGTCTTATGGCTCCTCCACTCCTGTGACAGTGTTTATTGCTCAGTAAACAACACCAGGATATTATGACCAGTTGTCTTATGGCTCCTCCTCTCCTGTGACAGTGTTTATTGCTCAGTAAACAACACCAGGAAATTATGACCAGTTGTCTCCTGGCTCCTCCTCTCCTGTGACAGTGTTTATTTCTCAGTAAACAACACCAGGATATTATGACCAGTTGTCTTATGGCTCCTCCTCTCCTGTGACAGTGTTTATTGCTCAGTAAACAACACCAGGGTATTATGACCAGTTGTCTCCTGGCTCCTCCTCTCCTGTGACAGTGTTTATTGCTCAGTAAACAACACCAGGGTATTATGACCAGTTGTCTCCTGGCTCCTCCTCTCCTGTGACAGTGTTTATTGCTCAGTAAACAACACCAGGGTATTATGACCAGTTGTCTCCTGGCTCCTCCTCTCCTGTGACAGTGTTTATTGCTCAGTAAACAACACCAGGATGTTATGAACAGTTGTCTTATGGCTCCTCCTCTCCTGTGACAGTGTTTATTGCTCAGTAAACAACACCAGGAAATTATGACCAGTAGTCTCCTGGCTCCTCCTCTCCTGTGACAGTGTTTATTGGTCAGTAAACAACACCAGGGTATTATGACCAGTTGTCTCCTGGTGTGCCAGCTCTGCTGGTCCTCCTGAGGTCTGTCCTCACTAGACCGCGATCTGCCCCCAGGTCGGCCAGTATCGATTTCCAGCAGTCAATGGAATACTCCATAATTGTGGATGTGGTGTTAAATCTTATAACCCACTCCGGCAGCACCAAGCAGGGTATGGTCTGTTTCAACATTCCTCCACTAGGCTGCTGCTTGTATTCTCCAACAGAAGTCAGTCACTCACATGCTGCAGTCCTTGTGTCATGCTGGTTGCCAGTGTTCATAGTAACAGTTCAGTCAAGTATAACTATGATAGCTGAGAACATGTTTGAGATTGTAAAAGGCTGGGGAGGTGCTACTTTGTTGCTGGCAGTGCTGCTATATTGCTGGTAGCGCTGCTATGTTGCTGGCAGTGCCACTATGTTGCTGGTACTGCAACTATGTTGCTGGTACTGCTGCTATGTTGCTGGCAGTGCCACTATGTTGCTAATAGTGATACTATGTTGCTGGTAGTGCTGCTATATTGCTGGTAGTGCCACTATGTTGCTGGTAGTGCCACTATGTTGCTGGTGCTTCCACTATGTTACTGGTATTGCTGCTATGTTGCTGGTAGTACTGCTACTATGTTGCTGGCAGTGCTACTATGTTGCTGGTACTGCTACTTTGTTGCCAGTAGTGCTGCTATGTTGCTTGCAGTGCCACTATGTTGCTGGTACTGCTGCAATGTTGCTGGTAGTGATACTATGTTGCTGGTAGTGCTGCTATGTTGCTAGTCTGCTACTATGTTGCTGGCAGTGCTGCTATGTTGCCAGTAGTACTGCTATGTTGCTGGTAGTGCTGCTATGTTGCTGGTAGTGCCACTATGTTGCTGGTAGTGCTGCTATGTTGCTGGTAGTGCCACTATGTTGCTGGTAGTGCTGCTATGTTGCTGGTAGTGCCACTATGTTGCTGGTAGTGCTGCTATGTTGCTGGTAGTGCTGCTATGTTGCTGGTAGTGCCACTATGTTGCTGGTAGTGCTGCTATGTTGCTGGTGGTACTGCTATGTTGCTGGTATTGCTGCTATGTTGCTGGTGCTGCTACTATGTTGCTGGCAGTGCTGCTATGTTGCTGGCAGTGCTACTATGTTGCTGGTATTGCTGGTACTGCTACTTTGTTGCCAGTAGTGCCGCTATGTTGCTTGCAGTGCCACTATGTTGCTGGTACTGCTGCAATGTTGCTGGTAGTGATACTATGTTGCTGGTAGTGCTGCTATGTTGCTAGTCTGCTACTATGTTGCTGGTATTGCTGCTATGTTGCCGGTAGTACTGCTATGTTGCTGGTAGTGCTGCTATGTTGCTGGTAGTGCCACTGTGTGTGGTGTGTTGGAGGTGCAGCTTGAGAGCATTTTTCTAATACAAACTATACATAATGTGGCAGGGATCTTAAATGAAGGAAATGTCACAGTTAATGAGGACTATGCTCAGTTTCAGATTGATGACACCTGGAAACACATCTCAGTATCGCCTGGAATGGGAGTAGTGGACATTTGTTACATTTCCATGTCTGGAGATTGTTACTTGTGTGTCCTGGCTTCAGAGACCCAAATGTGTGGCTTGTGTCAAGCATGGCCGGGTCTACTAAATTAAATATATAACATTAAATCTATAACATACATCACTCACAGATTTAACAAGATGAGTAGATGGTCATAGTCGATGTCCACACCTCAACACACACCTCAACACACAACCATCTTTTGCAACCATGTCAGTGGTCTCTACAAAGGGCCCGGACACACTTCAACAAACATCAATGTCAGGCTTCTGACTGGCTCATTCAGCATTCACCCTATAAAAGAAAGTTTACCGTAAAACTACTGAAATTTCATTGATCAAAATTTGAAATTGGAAACAGACTATATCCCATATGTGACACTCCCTTGGCAAAGTGTGAATGTCAGCAGATTGCCATGATGCTCGCTCTTCCTTAGCAGGAACCATTATAGATCCCACCGTCAATGACATCGGTGTGATCCTCCTTGCCCATTGTAGAGACACATTGTAGAGACACATTGTTGAGGCGCTTTGTTCATTGTCCCGTTTTCAAATCAGTTGACAATCAATAGCTGATTTGCTGTATCTCATATTATCATACTGAGTGTTAGATAGAACAAGAAAGTGGGTGACAATCTCAGTGTATGTGGCCACACTCTCCCTTAGTGATGGCTGAGACTATGATTGACACATGATTCCTATGTAACTGACCTGTGGTCAGAGAATGTTTACGTCACAAGCTCATCCTCTCACCTGTCACACAAGCTCCACCACACCACATCACACTCACCTCAGCTCCATACACCACCCAGCATCACCACACAAGCTCCTCACAGGGATAGCCCAAATGTGGACCTCTCTATACTATACACAGATCCTGTGTGCTAGGAGTGTGAGGTCCTGTATACTAGGTGTGTGAGTTCCCGTGTGCTAGGTGTGTGAGGTCCTGTATGCTAGGTGTGTGAGATCCTGTGTGCTAGGTGTGTGAGTTCCCGTGTGCTAGGTGTGTGAGGTCCTGTATGCTAGGTGTGTTAGTTCCTGTATACTAGGTGTGTGAGTTCCTGTGTGCTAGGTGTATGAGTTCCCGTGTGCTAGGTGTGTTAGTTCCTGTGTGTGAGTTCCTGGGTGCTAGGTGTGTGAGTTCCTGTGTGCTAGGTGTGTGAGGTCCTGTATGCTAGGTGTGTGAGTTCCCGTGTGCTAGGTGTGTTAGTTCCTGTGTGTGAGTTCCTGGGTGCTAGGTGTGTGAGTTCCTGGGTGCTAGGTGTGTGAGGTCCTGTATGCTAGGTGTGTTAGTTCCTGTATGCTAGGTGTGTGAGTTCCTGTGTGCTAGGTGTGTGAGTTCCCTGTGTGCTAGGTGTGTGAGGTCCTGTATGCTAGGTGTGTTAGTTCCTGTATGCTAGGTGTGTGAGTTCCTGGGTGCTAGGTGTGTGAGTTCCTGTGTGCTAGGTGTGTGAGGTCCTGTATGCTAGGTGTGTTAGTTCCTGTATGCTAGGTGTGTGAGTTCCTGTGTGCTAGGTGTGTGAGTTCCCTGTGTGCTAGGTGTGTGAGTTCCTGTATGCTAGGAGTGTGGGTTCCTGTGTGCTAGGTGTGTTAGTTCCTGTATGCTAGGTGTGTTAGTTCCTGTATGCTAGGTGTGTTAGTTCCTGTATGCTAGGTGTGTTAGTTCCTGTATGCTAGGTGTGTGAGTTCCCTGTGTGCTAGGTGTGTTAGTTCCTGTATGCTAGGAGTGTGGGTTCCTGTGTGCTAGGTGTGTTAGTTCCTGTATGCTAGGTGTGTTAGTTCCTGTATGCTAGGTGTGTGAGTTCCTGTATGCTAGGTGTGTTAGTTCCTGTATGCTAGGTGTGTGAGTTCCTGTATGCTAGGTGTGTTAGTTCCCGTGTGCTAGGTGTGTTAGTTTCTGTATACTAGGTGTGTTAGTTCCTGTATGCTAGGTGTGTTAGTTCCTATGTGTGAGTTCCTGTATGCTAGGAGTGTGAGGTCCTGTGTGCTAGGAGTGTGAGGTCTTGTATACTAGGTGTGTTAGTTCCTGTATGCTAGGTGTGTGAGTTCCCGTGTGCTAGGTGTGTTAGTTCCTGTGTGTGAGTTCCTGGGTGCTAGGAGTGTGAGGTCCTGTGTGCTAGGAGTGTGAGGTCCTGTATACTAGGTGTGTTAGTTCCTGTATGCTAGGTGTGTGAGTTCCCGTGTGCTAGGTGTGTTAGTTCCTGTGTGTGAGTTCCTGGGTGCTAGGTGTGTGAGTTCCTGTGTGCTAGGTGTGTGAGGTCCTGTATGCTAGGTGTGTTAGTTCCTGTATGCTAGGTGTGTGAGTTCCTGTGTGCTAGGTGTGTGAGTTCCCTGTATGCTAGGTGTGTGAGTTCCTGTGTGCTAGGTGTGTGAGTTCCCTGTGTGCTAGGAGTGTGAGGTCCTGTATGCTAGGTGTGTTAGTTCCTGTATGCTAGGTGTGTGAGATTCTGTGTGCTAGGTGTGTTAGTTCCCGTGTGCTAGATGTGTGAGTTCCTGTATGCTAGGTGTGTTAGTTCCTGTATGCTAGGTGTGTGAGGTCCTGTATGCTGAGTATGTGAGTTCCTGTGTGCTGGGTATGGGAGTTCCTGTGTGCTGGGTATGTGAGTTCCTGTGTGTTTTCATGTGGTTTTGGCTGTATCCTGCAGATAGTGATGTGAACTGGTTCATGTTTCGTCCTGTGACAGCTGTGCTTTGAGTTATCTGCCCACTACTGTGAGGGAAGCCAGACAGCTGGCCCTGTGAGTGATGTGTAGCCAACATCGATGCTGTCACTGTCAATCACAACATGTAATGTACACCATGGATAGGCCTGGCCCACCTACTTCAACAACACCAACTACACCATCACCAACTGCACCAACCTGCCTAGCAACACTGACCACACCAACAACTCACAGCTAATGTGCCCCTCCTCCCAGCTAATGCCTCCCTCTCTCTCTCTCTCTCTCTCTCTCTCTCTCTCTCTCTCTCTCTCTCTCTCTCTCTCTCTCTCTCTCAAACTCTCTTTATCTCTCAAACTCTATCTCTCTCTCTCTCTCTCAAACTCTCTCTCTCTCTCTCTCTCTCTTTCTCTCTCTCTCAAGCTCACACTCAACGCAACAGCTAAGTTCATGTATAAGTGTAGCACTGAACTGAACATGTGAAGAATGTTTAAATAGTTGCCTATTGACAATGTAATGTCCCGTATCACCCTTCTCCCTGAGCCGATGATGTGCAACTTGGTGATATTCTGGCTGGTGAAAATATGTTGCTTTTTGCATTATCAGTCTCTGTGCAGTCTTTATTTTGTCACGATATATCTCACCTGAGCTGGAACAAATACCCAGTCAATACAATGTACACATTTAACACAAGTATACTTATTGACTACTTAGATGTTTTTTTAATTCTGCAGTTAGTTTGCTTCAGCACTAACGTGTTGTGATGTGGTGACCTACCTAATGTTGATACACTAAACCAGCTACTCACATGTACTGAGATGCTGCCATTGTTTAGGCACTGGCACATGTTACTGAGTTAGTCAAGCTTGTCTGTCTCTTGCAGACAATATGGTAACTATCTTGCTGTTGTATTTCTCTCTCTCTGATGGCACCTTTACATAGAAGTTTATAATGAATATTTGTTGTAAACTCACTCACTCTTCTGTGTGACAAAAAAGTTGTTTGCTGACATGGTGTTGTTAGCTCACCCGGTGTTGTTGGCTCACCTGGTGTTATTAGCTCACCTGGTGTTGTTAGCTCACCTGGTGACTGCATTGTTGTTAGCTCAATTATCTTCTCTCAATGCAAGGGATAGCATCGTTGATAGATCAACTGGAACAAAATATTAACAATTATGTAAACAGTTCCCACAGTTGGTTATCTTCATATCTCAGTATGAAAATATTTAGCAAAAAGAAAGCAAATGGGGGACTACATTCATATATGCAAACATGGTGTGGAGTTTTGGACCAGGTAAGTACAGCAAGGTGAGCTCTGACAGCCCCTTCACAATACCAGCCCCTCCACAATACCATCCCCTCCACAATACCAGCCCTTCCACAATACCAGCTCCTCACAATACCAGTCCCTCCACAATACCATCCCCTCCACAATACCAGCCCCTCCACAATACCAGCTCCTCACAATACTAGCCCTTCCACAATACCAGCCCCTCCACAATACCATCCCCTCCACAATACCAGCCCTTCCACAATACCAGCTCCTCACAATACCAGTCCCTCCACAATACCATCCCCTCCACAATACCATCCCCTCCACAATACCAATCCCCAACAATACCATCCCCTCCACAATACCAGCTCCTCACAATAACAGTCCCTCCACAATACAGCCCCTCCACAATACCATCCCCTCCACAATACCAGCTCCTCACAATACCAGCCCTTCCACAATACCAGCCCTTCCACAATACCAGCCCCTCCACAATACCATCCCCTCCACAATACCAGCTCCTCACAATACCAGCCCTTCCACAATACCAGCCCTTCCACAATACCAGCCCCTCCACAATACCATACCCTCCACAATACCAGCTCCTCACAATACCAGCCCTTCCACAATACCAGCCCCTCCACAATACCAGTTCCTCCACAATACAGCCCCTCCACAAGACCTGCCCCTCCACGATACAGCCCCTTGACAATACCAGCTCCTCCACAAGACCTGCCCCTCTAAAGTACCAGTCCCTCCATAATACAGCCCCTCACAATACCATCCCCTCGAAAATAAGCCCTTCCCCAATACCAGCCCTTCCACAATACTAGCCCCTCCACAATACCAGCCCTTTCACAATACCAGCCCCTTGAAAATACAGCCCCTCCCAATACCAGCCTCTCCACAATACCACCCTTCCACAATACCAACCATCCCTTCCACAACACCAGCCCCTCCGCAATACAGCACCTCCACAATACCAGCCCCTCTACAGTAGCAGTCCCTCAAAAATACAGCCCCTCCCAATACCAGCCCCTCCACAATAACACACACACCCACTCCCCACTCCCACAATAACACCCTCTCAACAATACCAACCATAACCACAATACCAGTCCCTCCACATTACAACCCCTCTACAGTACCAGTCCCTCCACAATACAGCCCCTCCACAATAACAGTCCCTCCATGATACAGCCCCACCACAAGACCTGCCCCTCCATGATACAGCCCCTTGACAATACCAGCCCCTCCACAAGACCTGCCCCGCCACAATACCAGCACCTCCACAATACAGCACCTCCACAATACCAGCTTCTCCACACTACCAGTCCCTCAATTATACAGCCCCTCACAATACAAGCCCCTGCCAATACCAACCCCTCTACAATAACACCCCCTCCCACCCCCACAGTAACACCCTTTCCACAATACCAACCATCCCTTCCACAACACCAGCCCCTCCGCAATACCAGTCCCTCCACAATACAGCCCCTCACCAGCCCCTCCACAATACCAGTCCCTCTGCAATACAGCCCCTCCACAAGACCTGTCCCTCCACAATACCAGTCCCTCCACGTTACAGCCCCTCAACAATAACAGTCCCTCCATGATGCAGCCCCACCACAAGACCTGCCCCTCCACGATACAGCTCCTTGACAATACCAGCCCCTCCACAAGACCTGTCCCTCCACAATACCAGTCCCTCTGCAATACAGCCCCTCCACAATACCAGTCCCTCCACGTTACAGCCCCTCCACGATACAGCTCCTTGACAATACCAGCCCCTCCACAATACAGACGCTCCACAATACAGCCCCTCCACAATACCAGCCCCTCCACAAGACCTGCCCCTCCACAATACCAGCCCCTCTACACTACCAGTCCCTCCACAATACAGACGCTCCACAATACCAATCTCTCCAGGTTACAGCCCCACCACAAGACCTGCCCCTCCACGATACAGCTCCTTGACAATACCAGCCCCTCCACAAGACCTGCCCCTCCACAATACCAGCCCCTCCACAATACCAGCCCCTCTACACTACAAGTCCCTCCACAATACAGACGCTCCACAATACCAGTCCCTCCAGGTTACAGCCCCTCTACAGTACCAGTCCCTCCAAAATACAGCCCCTTGAAAATACAGCCCCTCCCCAATACCAGTCCTTCCACAATAACACACACACCCCTCTCCGCAATACCAGTCCCAATACAAGCCCCTCCACAATACTAGCACACACACCCACACACAATACCAGCCCCTTTATGATACCAGTCCCTCCACAATAACACACACACCCCTCTCCGCAATACCAGTCCCAATACCAGCCTCAATACCAGCCCCAATACCAGCCCCTCCACAATACTAACACACACACCCACACACAATACCAGCCCCTTTATGATACCAGTCCCTCCACAATACAGCCCCTCCACAATACCTGCCCCTCCCTAATACCACCCCTTTTACAATACCAGCCCCTCTATAATACCAGCCCCTTTACAATACCAACACTTCCATAATACCAGCCCCTCCACAATACCAGCCCCATTACCACCCCCTCCACAATACCACTCCCTCCGCAATACCAGCTCCTCCACAGCCTCCACCACACACACGCACACGTACATGTACACAAGCACCAACGAGCAGCTGGAGACTTCTAAACCCAGTTTAGTCAAGGACCAACCTGTAGGTCCCGTGACCAAATCATGGAAACAAAGGTTTGAAAGTGTTTTTGAGTTTCCTGATGTATACTGAACAATTTTGACTTGGGCTGCCCGGTTGAAAATCCCGGGCATTTTGGGGAAGGGTCAATAAAGGTCAAACAGAGGTCAAAATTCAAAATTGTGTCGATATGCATATCAAATTACTCGTCCAGTCATAAGGAACCTAGAAATATATAGTTTGTTATACTTCAGACCTTAAATGGGGGAGCTATGGCCAAAAACGTTGAAAGGTCAACTCACTTTTGGCAGTCGGTGAAATTCACAAACACAGTTAACATTGTCCGATAGTCATGATTTTAGTGTCTAATAATATATTTTCTGACATGACAAATTCAACCAAGCAACTTTTAAAAGTAAAAAGGGTTACCTTGGCCTTGAAAATCGAAAATGGTTGCCATGCTTCAGCAAAGTCATTGGAAACAGGATCCTTGGCCAATAACGCAGCATATTTCAGAATCCATTGTCCAGAAATGCTTACTTGCCAATACGGTATTCACAGCCAGCACTGCCTCAACATCTGAGTGATGCCAGAGCAAACTGCTCTGTAGAATCAGACACAGATTCTAGATTCAAGTGATTGTGACAGTGATTCCGACTGTGCATCTGATCGGTATGACACAGAGTAGGATGATGAACTGTGCACTAAAGTAAGGTTAGAAAAGCATTACTGGACAATGGATTCTGAAATATGCTGCGTTATTGGCCAAGGATCCTGTGACTTTGCTGAAGCATTACAATTCTTCATGCAGCCAACCATTTTCGATTTTCAAGGTCAAGGTAACCCTTTTTACTTTTAAAAGTTGCTTGGTTGAATTTGTCATGTCAGAAAACATATTATTAGACACTAAAATCATGACTATCGGACAATGTTAACTGTGTTTGTGAATTTCACCGACTGCCAAAAGTGCGTTGACCTTTCAACGTTTTTGGCCATAGCTACCCCATTTAAGGTCTGAAGTATAACAAACTATATATTTCTAGGTTTCTTATGACTGGACGAGTAGTTTTATATGCATATCGACACAATTTTGAATTTTGACCCCTGTGTGACCTTTGTTGACCCTTCCCCAAAATGCCCGGGATTTTCAACCGGGCAGCCCAAGTCAAAATTGTTCAGTATACATCAGGAAACTCAAAAACACTTTCAAACCTTTGTTTCCATGATTTGGTCACGGGACCTACAGGTTGGTCTTCTAGTAGTTGTGATTAAATACCAACAGTTTGAACAAAGGAGAGGCTCATCTCTGTTGTGGTTCCATGTATGGCGTGTTCCCTGTGGGAAGCTGGGTAACTGTTTCTTATTATTTGAATATGTTCTTTTGCAACATTGCTCATAAAAATAATTATAAAATGAAATTTTGAAAACCAAGGTAGGATTTTGTTTTGGGGCAAATTGATGGAGACAATCCATGGCTGTAGGATTATGAACCATTTTGGTTATTGTGGAGGGAGTGTGTCGCCTGTGTCGCCCATGAGGCAGGGCTGTGTCGCCATGAGGCGGGGCTGTGGCGAGGTGGGACTCACTCACTCACCCTGGTTTGTCCCCAGCTGGAGGGTGGGGTCACAGAGGGACGCATCATTGTCGACTACGTGGCCATCAAGGAGGACGAGATCTCCGTATTCCGCGGCGAGCTGGTGCAGATCCTGGCCACCAATCCCACCAACATGTTCCTGGTGCACCGGGCCGCCAACCACAACTCCCCCGCCGCGGAGGGCTGGATCCCGGGACACATCCTCGGGCCCAAGGACATGGACGGCAGTCTCAAGTAAGTCACATGCCTGTCATTGCTACAGCTCAAAGTGAGTTTTTATTTGTTGTTTGTTTGTTTGTTGTTGTTCACCACCGCACTTAGCAATATTCCAGTTTTATGACGGCAGCCTGTAAATAATCGAGTCTTGACCACACTATCCAGTGATTGACATCATACGCATCAATCCACACAATTGGGATAGGATGACATGCATCAACCAAGTCAGCGAGCCTGGTCACCCGATCCCGTTAGTCACACATAACAACAAGCATAGTCCCCTTTTATAGCAAGCATGGGTTGCTGGAGACCTATTCTATTATTTGTACCTCACTTATTATCTTGTTCAAATCCATGTGATTTTTTTTGTGATTTTTCTTTTCAAAATATTTAAGGTAAGAATTTAAAGCAGAACTTTTAAAATCTTATTCTTAGCAACCACAGGACACAGGGCTTAAACATTTTGTTATTCCCCCCGACAAAATGTCGGGGGTATATAGTTATACCAAGATTCCGTCCGTCCGTCTGTCCGAAAACATTGTCTGCGCGATTTCTCTTAAACTATTCAGGGGATTCATCTCAAACTTAGTACATATAATCTGTGTCATATGGATGGGTGCAGTCAAAAGAAAAAATTGTTTTTATGAATTTTCCATTTTTTTATGAATTTTTCAAACCCTAACGCCGTCTGAAAACTTTATCGCGATTTCTCTTAAACTATTCAGGGGATTCATCTCAAACTTAGTACATATAATCTGTGTCATATGGATGGGTGCAGTCAAAAGAAAAAAATTGTTTTTATTAATTTTCCATTTTTTTATGAATTTTTCAAACCCTAACCAGGGTTTCCCCTGACGCAGAATTCTTGCGTATATGACTCTCAATTAAGGAAAAATACGTCCAGAAATCAATGACTGACGCAATTTCAAAATATTTATGTTGTTGTTTACCAGCTTTGGAATGAAAATATTACAACTACTCACCTGAACTTAATTTAAAAACATTTTCCAAAGACAATATAAGCAAACGTCTTAAAATGTACGTCTAGTTTTTAATTAATCGTCGTTTTTAGAAGTTACATAACTTCACATAACACCACTGCCACGGGCTAATTTGCATAGCCTGTCACATGACCAGACTTTTCTCTCGTTTTAAAACAAACGCTAAAATCAGAACAGCCGGGGGCTTTATATATTGTTTTGCATAATTATATAGATATGCTACTAAAACTGTGCGACTGTGAGGTACACGACAAAATATATTTATTCATCAAAGTGAACGTAACTCTCACACTCCGTGTGGCTTCGATGACAGCACGTGATGTAAACAAAGGAAAACTACGCAAATGGACAAGGTTTTTCACGTTTCGGCATATTTTCTCACTAAAAGTTAACCATGACATATGTTTATCTAGATGTGTAGACTCGTAAAAAATGAAACAAAAGAAAATATTATAATTGTTGCGGTGAATAATGTGATTTGGTGCGGTCACAGTATGTGGTTAAGCGGAACCTATGGAACGGGGTAAACAGAAGTTGTAAGTATCGGAGGGACACATGTTTTTGACGAAATTTAGGTAAACATTATTGAATGAAATTTTAGATAAAATTAATAAAATAGATGACAAACATAAGGTCAGATATACAGAGAACACATTTTTATTACCAGATAGTGTAACAACAGGATTAACTTGGGTAATTCAATTCGGATTTGTTATGCTATTTCCGATGACGGATCATAACAGACTGAAATGAGACTGAAGAAAAGTCTGTGCGTATTATACACGAGAGATATTTTTTTCAGGATTTAATTGCCCATAATTAGGGTTGCGTATTATACACGAGTGTGTATTATACACGAATAAATATGGTATATACGAAATGTAAAGCTTTGGGCGTGTTTGTTGTTGCTAATAAACTGTATTCAACCAGAAAATATTACAAGTGTTCACAATCCTTCAGTTCAACTTCACTGTTGATAGATAATACAAGATAACTAGATAAAAGATGTAAATGAGTTAGTGGTATTAAATTATAATCTGACATGAAATGTATTTTAATATCCATCCATGATTAAAAATTATGTCTCACAGTTGAGACTGATGTTATTTATTCATCCTGTATTAGTGTCACTGTAAATTGTTTCATGAGCTGTGAAGTAATTAAAGATTGTGGAAAATAAAACAAACAAACTTTGTTTTTCATTCATATATCCTTTATTTCTCTGAAGTACAATCAGCTCAGAACATTAATTAGCACTTGTTTACTAAAACTAAAGACATATAATATTTAAAAGATACTTAACTTTAAGTGTAACATTAACAGTGAACACTTTAAATTTCATTAAACATACAATAAAACATTTGACTCTCAAAAAATATTTTTGACTCATTCAAGTCAAATTCAATTCAAGGTGACTCTCAGATATTGGAGTCTAGGGGGAACCCTGCCTAATCCTATCCTAGCTATTTAATTTGTAACTACTGACACACTAGGCGGGTCGGGGGTATTAGTGAGCCACGCTCACTTTTGCACTTGTTTGAGATTCAAATCATTCAAGGTGTCATTACTTGCACTATACATCAGTGTCATAAATAATGTTGCAAAATTATTTTTTTCTGTCTTCTTCCTTGAATCTTTTGCACCAATTAGTTCCTCACTTTAGATATTTGTACTAAATTTGTATAAAGCCGAGTGACAAATCCGGGTTAGAATAAGTCTTCAGCAACCCATGCTTGTTGTGAGAGGCCACTAACAGGATCAGGTGTGTCATTGTATCCCAATAGCATATCATTAACAAGTTGGCATCATATAGCTGGAATATTACTGAGTGTTGCATTAAACAACAAACGAAAACAAAATAAACTTGCTTCCTAAGTCAGGTGAGCTACATAGCCTAGTGGCTCTATTTTTTTTCAATACTTCTTGGCTTTGCAAAAGTTTAAGTTGAATTAAAGAACATATTGTCCAGAGTGTTTCTTGCGATGTCTTGCACCCAATCATTTTAATATGATCCTAAACATCAACCTGGTTTCAATCTCTGATTGCATAGATAATTGTTTAAGGTACACCCACTAATACATGACAAGTATAATCTGACTGAAGTATATCTCCTTGATGCTGCACCTGAGTTTTGCTGCTGTTCTGGTACTGAGGACTGAAAGATCCACCCGATAAATGTTTTTATTGCCCAGCTGACTGATATAAGTTGTTGTTATTTTCTTCAGAAAACACTCGTGGCAGATGTTCAAACTGAAGAAGCCAAGTTTTCGGCCTGATAAGTGCGCTGATGGGATGAGCAGCCTTGAGAGGAAGGCCAAGTCACTCGGGCGGGATGGAAAGCCCAAGGTCAAGGTAGTGGTTCATTTTTAGCAGTATTGCAGATGATAGTCTTATCAAATACTTTCATTCTTTCACCTTATTCTGTGTGTGGAGAAATATAACTCATATCATTGCTTGTGTGGTAACATGGTTCAGGTGTCAGGCCTGTGTGTTCAGGTGAGGATGTGTCCACCTTGTGTGTTCAGGTGAGGATGTGTCCACCTTGTGTGTTCAGGTGAGGATGTGTTAGGCTTGTGTGTTCAGGTGATGATGTGTCAGGCTTGTGTGTTCAGGTGAGGATGTGTCCACCTTGTGTGTTCAGGTGATGATGTGTCCTCCTTGTGTGTTCAGGTGAGGATGTGTTAGGCTTGTGTGTTCAGGTGATGATGTGTCCTCCTTGTGTGTTCAGGTGATGATGTGTCCTCCTTGTGTGTTCAGGTGAGGATGTGTCCACCTTGTGTGTTCAGGTGATGATGTGTCCTCCTTGTGTGTTCAGGTGATGATGTGTCCACCTTGTGTGTTCAGGTGATGATGTGTCCTCCTTGTGTGTTCAGGTGATGATGTGTTCGCCCACTTTGTGTGTTCAGGTGATGATGTGTCCACCTTGTGTGTTCAGGTGATGATGTGTCCTCCTTGTGTGTTCAGGTGAGGATGTGTCAGGCTTGTGTGTTCAGGTGACGATGTGTTCACCTTGTGTGTTCAGGTGATGATGTGTCCACCTTGTGTGTTCAGGTGAGGATGTGTCAGGCTTGTGTGTTCAGGTGAGGATGTGTCCACCTTGTGTGTTCAGGTGATGATGTGTCCACCTTGTGTGTTCAGGTGATGATGTGTCCTCCTTGTATGTTCAGGTGATGATATGTCCACCTTGTGTGTTCAGGTGATGATGTGTTCACCTTGTGTGTTCAGGTGATGATGTGTCCTCCTTGTGTGTTCAGGTGAGGATGTGTCAGGCTTGTGTGTTCAGGTGACGATGTGTTCACCTTGTGTGTTCAGGTGATGATGTGTCCACCTTGTGTGTTCAGGTGAGGATGTGTCAGGCTTGTATGTTCAGGTGATGATATGTCCACCTTGTGTGTTCAGGTGATGATGTGTTCACCTTGTGTGTTCAGGTGATGATGTGTCCTCCTTGTGTGTTCAGGTGAGGATGTGTCAGGCTTGTGTGTTCAGGTGATGATGTGTTCGCCCACTTTGTGTGTTCAGGTGATGAGTCCAGGGGACTTCAACTACGAGGTCCCCCCAATCGTCCAGCAGCCCCTGACCAGTGTCACAGTCCAAGCGGGTGATACAGCCATCCTCACATGTAAGATATGTGGCCGACCTCGCCCCAACATCAGCTGGCGCTTCAACGACGCCACCACCATCCTCCCAGGTCCACGAATACTGCTGCTGTACAATGAAGAGGGTGTGGCTACTCTGCAGGTAAGACTGACAAGTGCGGGGGAATCCCTGGATGCTGCTGCAACCTATGCATCATTTAAGCAAAAGTCTCGTATATAGCATATATTGGCTGCTGAGTAAAGGGTCATTATTTGCAGCCACTATAAGGCCACGAAGGTTGACTTTCTAAAGAAAATACACAATCCAATGTATCTATGCAGTTGGAGGTTCAGATGGAATCTACGGAAATTGGACACACAAAACTTTTGTGAAAGATAATGATAGAACCATTGAGTTGAAGAACGTGATATGGCAATTCAAAACATACACACTCAAATTCGATCCTCACAATCAGTGAAACATTTGCAACTGCTTATGGAGTTTGTCATAACATAACTGTTATATATATTATCCAATAGCATGAGGTGGTTCGATGAACAAATTAACCTCAACAAACGATACAGATGACTATCCCGTGTGGTGTATTAAGATATAATGCTTGACCTTGACCTTCTTGCAGATCACTCAGGTGTCCTTGTCTGATGCGGGAGAGTACGCCTGCTTCGCAAGTAGCGAGATTGGCTCCATCGTGACCCGCGCCAACCTCACAGTACTAGGTGGGAAATACTTGGTCCTAAGACCTTCCTGCTCATATCACACGACACCAAGTCTCATGTCAGATTAGGATGTGTCTGGTCTCATCTTAACAGGGATGTTTGGTCTCATATCACACAGGGATGTCTGGTCTCATATCACACAGGGATGTCTGGTCTCATATCACACAGGGATGTGTCTCATATCACACAGGGATGTCTGGTCTCATATCACACAGGGATGTCTGGTCTCATATCACACAGGGATGTGTCTCATAGCACACAGGGATGTCTGGTCTCATATCACACAGGGATGTGTCTCATATCACACAGGGATGTCTGGTCTCATATCACACAGGGATGTCTGGTCTCATATCACACAGGGATGTGTCTCATAGCACACAGGGATGTCTGGTCTCATATCACACAGGGATGTCTGGTCTCATATCACACAGGGATGTGTCTCATATCACACAGGGATGTCTGGTCTCATATCGCACAGGAATGTGTCTCATATCACACAGGGATGTCTTGTCTCATATCACACAGGGATGTGTCTGGTCTCATATCACATAGGGATGTCTGGTCTCATCTAAACAGGGATGTCTGGTCTCATATCACACAGGGATAGACCGCCTCCGTGGTCTAGTGGTAGAGCGTCCGCCCAGAGAGCGGAAGGTCCGGGGTTCGATCCCCGACCGTGTCATACCAAAAGACGTTAAAACATGGTACTTGTTGTTACCCTGTCTGGCGCTCGGCATTAAGGGGTTAAAACAAGGACTGGTCGGCTCGGAGTCAGTATACTGTGTCTGAGTGGGGTATTCATGTTAAACTGCAGCATGGTATCTCAGTGAGCTAGCACTATAATTCGGCATCGGTCCAAAACTAGTATAAGCAGCCACACAAACACACACATGTACATGCACGTCGCTATATATGTGCAATAATCTTGGATGCGACTTTAAACCCCATTTCACCTCACCTCACACAGGGGTGTGTCTGGTCTCGTATCACATAGGGATGTCTGGTCTCATATCACACAGGGATGTCTGGTCTCATATCACACAGAGATGTCTGGTCTCATACACAGAGATGTCTGGTCTCCTATCACACAGGGATATCTGGTCTCATATCACATAGGCATGTGTCTGGTCTCATATCACACGGGGTTGTGTATTGTCATATCACTCAGGCATATACAATCTACAAGTGATCACCTTCCTAATATACAATCCATAGATGATCACCCATGCTATACATGATCCACATGTGATCCTTGCAACCTTGTCTGTTTAAATGTGTGTGTATTCCTGCACCATCTCCAATCTGTTATGATATACGCCCTTGATCCATTCACTGTCACAGCTTCTTTTGTAGGCTGTTTGGAATACTAGGATGAATATCAAGAAAGGTCCAATGAAATTACTCTCTGGAGTGAGAAAAAGTCTGCGCCAGCTTAGAGACTGGAGAGATGGAGGTGTGGGGATTAAGCTGTGGTGGTAATGGGTCCAGAGTATTTATCCTAATAGAATGGGGACATGGTACGCGGGATGATCCGGTCCTGTCTATGTTGGTTTGTTCCCAATGTTCTCCTGTTGGCAGATCGGCCTGGGGCCCCGGGGCAGCCTGTGATCCGCAACCAGGTGGGGACGGCTGTGCACCTGGAGTGGTCACCGCCTCCAAACTCTCACTGTGGACAAATTCAGGGCTACACCGTGGAGTTCAGGGAGAAAGGTCAGGATACATGGACAACTTAACATTGTCATTAGATCTAGGAGGGATGGATGAAGTTAGACATGAAGCATTATAGCTGAGTTCATAATACTTGGAGGTTTCTTGGGTTGACAGATCCACAGCTGGATTTAGTGGGGTGTTCAGTTCAGTTCAGAATATGCTTCATGCAAACAGGAATGTTTGGGTTTTTGTTATTTCATGTCATCAAATTATGACTTTATATCTGAGTACAACAAAGGTATATGACTATTCATTATTCAGGACAATAACACCAGTGGTAGGGTGTTGATGAGGGTGAGACAATGGAGGTGGGGTGTTGATGAAGGTGAGAAAATGGAGGTGGAGTGTTGATTAGGGTGAGACAATGGAGAAGGGGTGTTGATGAGGGTGAGACAATGGAGACGGAGTGTTGATTAGGGTGAGACAATGGAGGTTGGGTGTTGATGAGGGTCAGACAATGGAGTCGGAGTGTTGATTAGGGTGAGACAATGGAGATGGGGTGTTGATGAGGGTGAGACAATGGAGGTGGGGTGTTGATGAGGGTGAGACAATGGAGATGGGGTGTTGATGAGGGTGAGACAATGGAGTCGGAGTGTTGATTAGGGTGAGACAATGGAGGTTGGGTGTTGATGAGGGTGAGACAATGGAGGTTGGGTGTTGATGAGGGTGAGACAATGGAGGTTGGGTGTTGATGAGGGTGAGACAATGGAGGTGGGGTGTTGATGAGGGTGAGACAATGGAGTCGGAGTGTTGATTAGGGTGAGACAATGGAGGTGGAGTGTTGATGAGGGTGAGACAATGGAGGTGGGATGTTGATGAAGGGCACTGTTGTTGCTTGCAGCCTCTGAAGTGTGGCAGTTGGCCATCCCGTACGTCCCCAACACATCCCAGGTCATCGGGGACCTGGAGCCGGGCATCACCTACCAGTTCCGGGTCAGCGCCAACAACGCCGTAGGCATCAGTGAACCGAGCCCCCCTTCAGTGTACGTCGCTGTGCCCACAGAGTATGGTGAGGAGCAAACAGATGGAGTTGTAGTAGTTGCTGTGTCTATAATATCATTGATCTAGTGTGTTTATGGGTAGTAGTCACTGTATCTATAATATCATTGATCTAGTGTGTTTATGGGTAGTAGTCACTGTATCTATGATGTCATTGATCTAGTGTGTTTATGGGTAGTAGTCACTGTATCTATGATGTCATTGATCTAGTGTGTTTATGGGTAGTAGTCACTGTCTTTAATGTCATTGATCTAGTGTGTTTATGGGTAGTAGTCACTGTATCTATGATGTCATTGATCTAGTGTGTTTATGGGTAGTAGCCACTGTATCTATGATGTCATTGATCTAGTGTGTTTATGGGTAGTAGTCACTGTATCTATAATATCATCGATCTAGTGTGTTTATGGGTAGTAGTCACTGTATCAATAATATCATTGATCTAGTGTGTTTATGGGTAGTAGTCACTATATCTATAATATCATCGATCTAGTGTGTTTATGGGTAGTAGTCACTGTATCTATAATATCATCGATCTAGCGTGTTTATGGGTAGTAGTCACTGTATCTATAATATCATCGATCTAGTGTGTATATAGGTATTGTCAAGTCCCTCTGTGTGAGCAGGACACAGTTGTATAATTGCGATGACATTGATGATGTCCAATTCTCCACGCCCACAGAGCTGAGTGCCAAGGAGGAGGCAACAGGTGCCATATGGAAGGCCACCTATGATAATGACTTCGGTGATGCAGGAGAAATTGGAAGGTAAGCCATGGAAAACTTTAACGTCGGAGGATAATTACACCTCAACCCTGAGGTAACAGTACATACATAGTCGTATCATTAGGATCAATATATCTGTGATCTGTGATCAAATTTCACATGGCCGAGAATAGAAAACGTTTTTAGTGAAAAATCAAAGGTTGCTGCTGTGGCCATGACTTATAGGAAGACAAACATGTCTTTACATTTTTTCGAAGTTTCGGTCCAGTTATCTGTTAACAAACTTATGGTTTGGGGTACCAGTGATACATTGCCCCTCCCTAGGGCAAACTTGTTACAATTGGAGACATCAGATGCTGTGTGTTTCAACAAGAAGTTGGTTCTCCAGACAACCAGCTTGTGACACTATCTGACATAAAGCTTTCTGTTGTGTCTACCAGAGGAAGGTTTGCAGTGGTCCGTAAGTGTATCCAGAAGTGCTCAGGCCAGGAGCTGGCAGCAAAAGTGATCTCGCGGAAGTTGGTGCGGAAGGAGGCGGTGGAGACGGAGTTCAACACACTGCAGAGTTTGCAACACTCGCACCTGGTGCAGGCGTACGACCTGTACGAGAGTCACGCCAACCTCATCATCATCATGCAACTGTGAGTAGCTCTTGTCTCCTCGTCCTGTCTGATTCGAGTTGTCCTGTTAGCGCTAGTCTCCTCATCCTGTCTACCAATAGTTGTTCTGAGTAGCTCCAGTCTCCTCGTCCTGTCTGCCTCTAGTTGTTCACAGTAGCTCCAGTCTCCTCGTCCTGTCTACCAATAGTTGTTCTGAGTAGCTCCAGTCTCCTCGTCCTGTCTACCAATAGTTGTTCACAGTAGCTCCAGTCTCCTCGTCCTGTCTACCAATAGTTGTTCTGAGTAGCTCCAGTCTCCTCGTCCTGTCTGCCTCTAGTTGTTCACAGTAGCTCCAGTCTCCTCGTCCTGTCTACCTCTAGTTCACAGTAGCTCCAGTCTCCTCGTCCTGTCTGCCTCTAGTTCACAGTAGCTCCAGTCTCCTCGTCCTGTCTGCCTCTCGTTGTTCTGAGTAGCTGAACTGTGACATGTGATCAATGACCTGTGACATGCGATGAATGACCTGTGACATGCGATGAATGAACTGTGGCATACGATGAATAAACTGTGCCATACAATGAATGAACTATGACATGTGATCAATGACCTGTGACATGCACTGAATGACCTGTGACATGCGATGAATGAATTGTGACATGCGATGAATGAACTGTGACATGTGATCAATGACCTGTGAAATGCGATGAATAAACTGTGCCATACAATGAATGAACTGTGACATGTGATTAATAAACTGTGCCATACAATGAATGACCTGTGACATGCGATGAATGACCTGTGACATGCGATGAATGACCTGTGACATGTGATGTGTGTTGCAGGCTGCCTCACGGCCGCCTGTTGGAATACATCTGCGGGAAGCCTCACTTTGACGAGATCCAAGCCGCGGAGTACATGAGACAACTTCTTGATGTAGTGCAGTACCTCCACAACTGCCGCATCGCTCACCTGGACATTAAGGTAGGTACCTCCACAACTGCCGCATCGCTCACCTGGACATTAAGGTAGGTACCTCCACAACTGCCGCATCGCTCACCTGGACATTAAGGTAGGTACCTCCACAACTGCCGCATCGCTCACCTGGACATTAAGGTAGGTACCTCCACAACTGCCGCATCGCTCACCTGGACATTAAGGTACGTACCTCCACAACTGCTGCATCGCTCACCTGGACATTAAGGTATGTACCTCCACAACTGCCGCATCGCTCCCCTGGACATTAAGGTATGTACCTCCACAACTGCCGCATCGCTCACCTGGACATTAAGGTACATACCTCCACAACTGCCGTATCGCTCACCTGGACATTAAGGTAGGTACCTCCACAACTGCCGCATCGCTCACCTGGACATTAAGGTAGGTACCTCCACAACTGCTGCATCGCTCCCCTGGACATTAAGGTAGGTACCTCCACAACTGCTGCATCGCTCACCTGGACATTAAGGTATGTACCTCAACAACTGCCGCATCGCTCACCTGGACATTAAGGTATGTACCTCCACAACTGCTGCATCGCTCACCTGGACATTAAGGTAGGTACCTCCACAACTGCTGCATCGCTCACCTGGACATTAAGGTATGTACCTCCACAACTGCTGCATCGCTCACCTGGACATTAAGGTAGGTACCTCCACAACTGCCACATCGCTCACCTGGACATTAAGGTATGTACCTCCACAACTGCCACATCGCACACCTGGGTTCCGATATACAAAACAACCTTAGCGCTACCACTGTCTTAAGTCTATCTTAAGGTATGGGAGACACAATCACCTTACCGCTAAGATCGCTTTGCACAACGGCATCCTGGACATTAAGGTACATCCCTCCACAACTGCATGTGTTATTCTGATGTCATGTGCTACATGTATTCTCGTTATAGTCAGTCTCAGTCCCATATAATTATTATATTATGTGCTATTCCTATAATGTTCAGTGATATTCCCGTTTTATATTACGTGCTATTCCTATAATGTTCAGTGATATTCCCCTATTATATTATGCGCTATTCCTATAATGTTCAGTGATATTCACGTATTATATTATGCGCTATTCCTATCATGTTCAGTGATATTCACGTATTATATTATGCGCTATTCCTATAATGTTCAGTGATATTCCCTTATTATATTACGTGCTATACCTATAATGCTCAGTGATATTATCATATTATAGTATGTGCTATTCCTATAATGTTCAGTGATAATCCAGTATTATATTACGCGCTATTCCTATAATGTTCAGTGATATTCCCGTATTATATTATGCGCTATTCCTATAATGTTCAGTGATATTCCCGTTTCTTTATTACGTGCTATTCCTATAATGTTCAGTGATATTCCCGTATTATATTATGCGCTATTCCTATAATGTTCAGTGATATTCCCGTATTATATTATGCGCTATTCCTATAATGTTCAGTCTTATTCTCATGTTATGTGCTATTCCTGTTTTAGTCAGTGCCATTCTCCATATTACTGTGTTATGCAATGTGTTTGTCTTCACATTATCCAGCCTGAGAATCTTCTGGTGGAAGTTGGTGCCATGGGAACCGGTCTCAAGCTCACCGACTTTGGCGACGCCCGCCACATCTACAACAACTACTACATCCACCCCATCATGGGCAACACCGAGTTCATGAGTCCCGAGCTGATCAGTGGAACTCCAGTGGGACTCCTCACAGATGTCTGGTCAGTTTACCCACATCATGTTAACTCATTATAACATAGCTAATGAACAGTCTTGCTGCTTATACCCCCCGAGCTGATCAGTGGAACCCCTCACGGATGTCTGGTCAGTTTACCCACATCATGTTAACTCATTATAACACAGCTAATGAACAGTATTGCTGCTTATACCCCCATCTCTGCAACCCCATCATGATTGTATTCTTGTCCAGTCCATGATGGAGTGCAGATGTTGATGATGGAGTGCAGGTGTTGATGATGGAGTGCAGGTGTTGATGATGGAGTGCAGGTGTTGATGATGGAATGCAGGGGTTGATGATGGAATGCAGGGGTTGAAGTGCAGGTGTTGATGATGGAGTGCAGGTTTTGATGATGGAGTGCAGGTGTTGATGATGGAGTGCAGGTGTTGATGATGGAGCGTTGTTTGCAGGAGTATCGGCATCATCGTGTACGTGCTGCTCAGTGGAGTGTCCCCGTTCCTGGACGAGAGTCAGGAGGAGACGTGCTCCAACATCGTCCGTAACGACTACTGCTTCCCCGATGAGTACTTTGCAGGCATCTCCCAGGATGCCAAGGACCTGATCCGGACCATGCTTGTTGAAGAACTCAGGTAGGAAGTCCTCCCTCTCACCTCATCAACCCAATGTTGGAGTAAAGAGTGAGCTGCTGATCGGAAACCCTGCAGGACTGCAGACAAACAAACACACTTCAGCTCGTGCTGACATTGCACCACAAGCTGGGAGATTTGCATATCACATGGCTGGATTTTCTTTTATTTGTACACAAACTCACGTATACTGACATCACAGCAGTCCATACTATTGGAGGTCTTTAAATGTGATTTACAGATTTGCACAATTCAGAAGAAATTCTTCTCTTGTTCTATGATGTTGAGGAGTATGAGAAGACATCTTCACACCTCACAGTGGCTGTGCCACTACCTGTCTAATGAGGTTCAATGTTTGCATATGGAACCAGGGCTTTATCAAGGATTCCAAATTAAGAGCCAAGGCCTCTGAGCACGTCCAGGAAACTCCCTGCGAACCGTGCCATGATTGTAAACAAAGACTAATTAATCAAAGGAGAAATGTTTTTCACATGTTATATTTTCTATATATTATCTAAATATGTAGAATTTTCAAAATTGAAATGAATGATAATCCAAAAGAAGTGTAAGATGTGACAATCAGGACATCACACTGGCCTGAACTCAAGGTAGGACAACACACAATAAACAACACAGGGGAGATAACTGATATTTTATCATGCTTACTGTTGCATGGGTTCAACATGAGGATTGTCTCCCCTTGACCATCAGTGGAACTAGAGCTTGTGTTGCCTTCAGTATTACCTGGGATGAAATGCTGATAATGTCAGCCATACTGTGCTTACCATACTGTGATGATATCAACCAATCTCTGTAGCGTGCTGACCATACTGTGATAATATCAACCAATCTCTGTAGCGTGCTGACCATAATGTGATAATGTCAACCAATCTCTGTAGCGTGCTGACTATACTGTGATATGTCAACCAATCTCTGTAGCGTGCTGACCATACTGTGATAATGTCAACCAATCTCTGTAGCGTGCTGACTATACTGTGATAATGTCAACCAATCTCTGTAGCGTGCTGACCATACTGTGATAATGTCAACCAATCTCTGTAGCGTGCTGACCATACTGTGATAATGTCAACCAATCTCTGTAGCGTGCTGACCATACTGTGATAATGTCAACCAATCTCTGTAGCGTGCTGACCATACTGTGATAATGTCAACCAATCTCTGTAGCGTGCTGACCATACTGTGATAATGTCAACCAATCTCTGTAGCGTGCTGACCATACTGTGATAATGTCAACCAATCTCTGTAGCGTGCTGACCATACTGTGATAATGTCAACCAATCTCTGTAGCGTGCTGACCATACTGTGATAATATTCAGTTATACTGCTATGTTTTCAGCAAGCGCCCCTCTGCTCAGACGTGTATAGAATGTGCCTGGATTAAGAAAGCCTCTGTCCCGAGGAGTTCCCCGCTGCGTCCAAAACCTATTGCCACAGCTCGGTTGTGTGACTTCATTGAGCGGCGGCGACACCAGGTACCGACTTCTTGCCGGTCTGTTATAGGATCCAGTGATATAATATGATACAGTGATATAATATGATACAGTGATATAATATGATATGATACAATATGATATGATACAATATGATATGATACAATGATATAATATGATACTGTGATAATAAACAATCCTATAGCAATACACAGTTGTACAAGCTATGCAAATAGCAATACACAGTTGTACAAGCTATACAAATAGTAATACACAGTTGTACAAGCTATACAAATAGTAATACACAGTTGTACAAGCTATACAAATAGTAATACACAGTTGTACAAGCTTTACAAATAGCAATACACAGTTGTACAAGCTATACAAATAGCAATATACAGTTGTACAAGCTATACAAATAGCAATACACAGTTGTACAAGCTATACAAACAGCAATACACAGTATTACAAGCTATGCAAATAACAAAACACAGTTGTACAAGCTATACAAATAGCAATACACAGTTGTACAAGCTATACAAATAACACTACACAGTTGTACAAGCTATACAAATAGCAATAGACAGTTGTACAAGCTATACAAATAACAATACACAGTTGTACAAGCTATGCAAATAGCAATACACAGTTGTACAAGCTATGCAAATAACAAAACACAGTTGTACAAGCTATACAAATAGCAATACACAGTTGTACAAGCTATACAAATAACACTACACAGTTGTACAAGCTATACAAATAACAATACACAGTTGTACAAGCTATACAAACAGCAATACACAGTTGTACATGCGTGTAGATTGTGGTGTGAATGTCCTGAGTGTGTGTAGATTGTGGTGTGAATGTCCACAGTGTGTGTGTAGATTGTGGTGTGAATGTCCACAGTGTGTGTGTAGATTGTGGTGTGAATGTCCTGAGTGTGTGTAGGTTGTGGTGTGAATGTCCACAGTGTGTGTGTAGATTGTGGTGTGAATGTCCACAGTGTGTGTAGATTGTGGTGTGAGTGTATACAGTGTGTGTGTAGATTGTGGTGTGAATGTCCACAGTGTGTGTGTAGATTGTGGTGTGAATGTCCACAGTGTGTGTGTAGATTGTGGTGTGAATGTCCACAGTGTGTGTAGATTGTGGTGTGAGTGTATACAGTGTTTGTGTAGATTGTGGTGTGAATGTCCACAGTGTGTGTAGATTGTGGTGTGAATGTCCACAGCATGTGTAGGTTGTGGTGTGAATGTCCACAGCATGTGTAGATTGTGGTGTGAATGTCCACAGTGTGTGTGTAGATTGTGGTGTGAATGTCCACAGTGTGTGTAGATTGTGGTGTGAATGTCCACAGTGTGTGTGTAGATTGTGGTGTGAATGTCCTGAGTGTGTGTAGATTGTGGTGTGAATGTCCACAGTGTGTGTAGATTGTGGTGTGAGTGTATACAGTGTTTGTGTAGATTGTGGTGTGAGTGTATACAGTGTTTGTGTAGATTGTGGTGTGAGTGTATACAGTGTTTGTGTAGATTGTGGTGTGAATGTCCACAGCATGTGTAGGTTGTGGTGTGAATGTCCACAGCATGTGTAGATTGTGGTGTGAATGTCCACAGTGTGTGTGTAGATTGTGGTGTGAATGTCCACAGTGTTTGTGTAGATTGTGGTGTGAATGTCCACAGTGTGTGTAGATTGTGGTGTGAGTGTATACAGTGTGTGTGTAGATTGTGGTGTGAATGTCCACAGTGTGTGTGTAGATTGTGGTGTGAATGTCCACAGTGTGTGTGTAGATTGTGGTGTGAGTGTATACAGTGTTTGTGTAGATTGTGGTGTGAATGTCCACAGTGTGTGTGTAGATTGTGGTGTGAATGTCCACAGTGTGTGTAGATTGTGGTGTGAGTGTATACAGTGTGTGTGTAGATTGTGGTGTGAATGTCCACAGTGTGTGTGTAGATTGTGGTGTGAATGTCCACAGTGTGTGTAGATTGTGGTGTGAGTGTATACAGTGTGTGTGTAGATTGTGGTGTGAATGTCCACAGTGTGTGTGTAGATTGTGGTGTGAATGTCCACAGCATGTGTAGGTTGTGGTGTGAATGTCCACAGTGTGTGTGTAGATTGTGGTGTGAATGTCCACAGTGTGTGTAGATTGTGGTGTGAGTGTATACAGTGTGTGTGTAGATTGTGGTGTGAATGTCCACAGTGTGTGTGTAGATTGTGGTGTGAATGTCCACAGTGTGTGTAGATTGTGGTGTGAGTGTATACAGTGTTTGTGTAGGTTGTGGTGTGAATGTCCACAGTGTGTGTAGATTGTGGTGTGAATGTCCACAGTGTGTGTAGATTGTGGTGTGAATGTCCACAGCATGTGTAGGTTGTGGTGTGAATGTCCACAGCATGTGTAGATTGTGGTGTGAATGTCCACAGTGTGTGTGTAGATTGTGGTGTGAATGTCCACAGTGTGTGTAGATTGTGGTGTGAATGTCCACAGTGTGTGTGTAGATTGTGGTGTGAATGTCCACAGTGTGTGTAGATTGTGGTGTGAGTGTATACAGTGTGTGTGTAGATTGTGGTGTGAATGTCCACAGCGTGTGTAGATTGTGGTGTGAATGTCCACAGTGTGTGTAGATTGTGGTGTGAATGTCCACAGCATGTGTAGATTGTGGTGTGAATGTCCACAGCGTGTGTAGATAGTGATGTGAATGTCCTGAGTGTGTGTAGATTGTGGTGTGAATGTCGGTGTGTATAGATTGTGGTGTGAATGTCGGTGTGTATAGATAGTGGTGTGAATGTCGGTGTGTATAGATTGTGATGTGAATGTCGGTGTGTGTAGGTTGTGGTGTGAATGTTGGCGTGTGTGTAGATTGTGGTGTGTGTGTCTACGCCGTATGTGTTGATTGTGGTGTGAATGTTGGTGTGTGTAGATTGTGGTGTGAATGTTGGCATGTGTAGATTGTGGTGTGTGTGTCTACGCCGTGTGTGTAGATTGTGGTGTGAATGTCAGTGTGTGTAGATTGTGGTGTGAATGTCCACAGTGTGTGTAGATTGTGGTGTGAATGTCCACAGTGTGTGTGTGTAGATTGTGGTGTGAATGTTGGCGTGTGTAGATTGTGGTGTGAATGTTGGTGTGTGTAGATTGTGGTGTGAATGTCCACAGTGTGTGTGTGTAGATTGTGGTGTGAATGTTGGCGTGTGTAGATTGTGGTGTGTGTGTCTATGCCGTGTGTGTAGATTGTGGTGTGAATGTTGGTGTGTGTAGATTGTGGTGTGAATGTTGGCGTGTGTAGATTGTGGTGTGTGTGTCTACGCCGTGTGTGTAGATTGTTGTGTGAATGTCGGTGTGTGTAGATTGTGGTGTGAATGTTGGCGTGTGTAGATTGTGGTGTGTGTGTCTACGCCGTGTGTGTAGATTGTTGTGTGAATGTCGGTGTGTGTAGTTTGACTCACTTGTACTTCCATTGTGTTTGCAGAGTGACACCATGAAGGTGATGTCCTAGCCGGAGCCTCCTCCATTGTCTGTGATGCTAGCAGCCTTCAACACACGGCCCCAATGTCTAGCGTGTGGCTGAATGCATGATGTGACCCTCAACATGGATAGGTCTGCTCTACCTCTCCCGATCTGCCCATGAAGTTGCAGCAAGGTCAAGTCCACCGCCTACTGTCTACTGTCTATTGTGTAGATGTGTCAGACAGATCGACATGTCTTGCAGGACGAAGGAAATTGCTGCATCAACATGGACAACACAACATCTGCAACTTGGACGACACAACATCAGCAACGTGAACGACACAACAACATCAGCATCCCCCATCATGCTCTGTTCCGTGGAGTCCGAGAAAACCGCTGCATTGGGAGGAGGCTGCGACACATGCTTCATCACTAGTGTGACACCCACAACATTTCCTTTGATTTGTGAAATATTTGGCCGGACTGAAAATGAGAGGAACTTTAGTAGCACATTTAAGATGATTACCTAAACTGATGGGAGGTTTTGTCTAGGTGCATCATTGTGCAGATGTCAGGCTTTTGCTGAACGTGAATGGCCAATGTCTGAAGGGAGTATGTACATTGAGGTAGTTCTAGTCCAACATCTTTCTGATTATGACAAGTTGAGCCAATGATTGTACACTCCAGATGTATGAAATATAAGAGTTCATTTCGATTCTATCTTTCACTGCAAGATGGGGTGTGTCTGCCAGTACAATACAATATTCTCCATAGATGTGCCAAGGGTGTGGTGTCCTTGTGCCAGCAGTGGGGCGGCGTGTGGGAAGAGGTGGCCAGATGCGCCTCCACTGTAAGGGGGCTGATGTGTATCCTCTGTGAATTAATCATTTAATGTGACATGTGAATAAAAACATTGCAATAGATGGTAGAGTACTCCATGAAGATAGTCAATTGTGCCAAGTCGTGATGGCGTGCTGCCCAGTAGTCATGGCTTGCTGTAGACTGTACATCCTGGTTCCTGTAAATACAACCACTTTATTCCACCATGCGTAATGAAACAAGGACATTTTACATTTCAGTGTAATCATTTTCACATTTTTTACCTTTTCCGATGCAATTTGATCATGAATGGTGATTGTGTATTTATTCCCTGGTTCTTTCATCTTCAAAATAAGAATGCTTTTGTGTAACAGGGGTAGATAACTCTGCTGTCCCAACTCTCTGCAGCCATGTGACGTCTCTACCGCTGATGCTGCTTGTCTAGAAATAAACACGGTATCTTCACTCCGGTAATTCGCCACAAAATACTTTTGCCTAATTTAGGTTATTTAAAACAGGCTTTGTCAAGACCTGTGTCATAGAAGTAAGCAACATTTCTAGATTTGTAAACTCTTGTGTTTATGATAACATTTGACTGTGTATCACGGGGAAGAGTGCAACTTGTGCGATCATCTGGGTGACCACACGTCATGTTTCGTTTTCGTATGACGCGAGGTTGTTCAGTAGCTGTTTATTTCTGTTTAATGGTAGAACATTATTAAGTGGTTTACATCTATGAAGACATTACTGAGTGGTTTACATCTGTGAAAACATTGTTGATTTGTTCACATCATTATTCGCACCCTAGAATTATCGCCACTCGCCCCGCAGTTCTCAGTATTCCTCGTGAGCTGTGATATTCGGACATCGGATCGGAATGTAGTGGAACTCTGATACTGATGGAAACATTTGTTTACACACCTGAGGCTGTACCTAGCCGAACCTGGAGATCGTGGGGGGTCATGACGTAGTCGACCCACACAGTGTAGTGGCAGTAGTGTACTTAATGCTCATAGTTAAAAAGGTTTTCATGACAGAAAATTCCAATGACTTTTGTTAACAATTTACCTTTTGGGTTCAGTATTTATTTCCATGTAATGTGTTTCTAGTCCGTGTGTTTGATCACCAGAACTCGGTACTCCTAATGAAGTCTCGTACACACGGGCGGTGCATGGGCCATCAGCCGGGTGCAGGCGAGGTGGCCGACTTCAGTACTTGTATAATTGTTATTATGATATCATATGTTGCTATGAAACATAAAAAGCATCAATAATATCACCTGTGTTTGTGCTTTGTTTGTGCTTTGTAGGACAGTCTGTGGTTCCAGCAGTTTTACCTGCAGTGTAAACACAATGTAGTGAGGTTTCAGTGAATGAATGTTGTGGCAGTCAGCCTTAGTTCGTAGTTATGGCATCAGCCTGTAAATGGCTGAATCTGAAAAATACACACCAGGGCTAATGGTAAGGGCGAGGATCAATGGGGCGTCCTCATTGGAAGTGAGTATGCTTTTACACCTCTTTTTTTGCAATATTCCAGTCATGTCACGTTGGGAGACACAAGAAATGGGTTTTACACATTGTACCTATGTGAGGCGTCACAATTCGCTGTGCAGTGTTGTGTCCTGGGGCATGCCAGGAACATATGATTGTGGATTCGAATCCCGGTTCCCCATGATTATGTTTCTATGTTTGTCAGCTTCATCCATGCTCCTGGGTTTCACCGAAGTGGTAGACATTAACAACCTGCATCACTTTGGACCTTCCTCCCACATTAAGCTGACACCCCGTGATATAACTGGAATATTGTTCAAAGCAGGGATAAACCCAACTCACTCAATCAGACGAGTGAAGGCTTTAACCACGAGGTTACCCTGTTGTGGGGAACTCGGCTCACAGCTCAGGCAGTTGATTTGAAGTAAACAGCTTTAGATGCAGATATGGGTGGGTGGTCCGGCATTGCAAGAATAACCAGTTAAGGCAGACAGGACTGTGCATGTGAGTAGTAAGTCGGTCGCCGGACGATGATAGTAAGTAATAAACATTGTAAACAACATGTACTCCTCTCTGATGTTGGCATGTGTAATAAATAAGTAACCTTTTCTTCGGTAGCTACGGTACCGTATCCCCTTGTCCATTCACCATCCAGTGTCAGTTTTCTATACGTCACTACAGGGCAACGTCGGCCAACGTACGCTGTAGTGTTTACAGCTGATGTCTACATCTCAGGACGGCTACAAATCATAAATTATTTTAAAATCTATATATCAATCTTTTTAATCACTTACTCCAAACGCGACTACTTCATTCACCGAAAGTGAACTTTGAATAAGGATTCCAGATCGAAATAAACAACGGTGGCTTTTTCGAATCTTGTTTTCCAAAATCCACACCTGTTGAGATTTTCTCACCTAACGGTCATCGCAGCTAATTGTACAGGTGCTAGACAGGAGACAGTGCCCCCCGCTACTGACAGCCCTACAATGCGTACTGCAGGTACATGCGTTTGTAAAGGTCTAGAGGCTGCCTGTACTTAGAGATTGGCGACAAAACAAATGTACATTTCCATGTGCACTGTAATCACATGAAGGCTGCGACAGAGTCGAGGACCTATCCGAAATGTCGTGGGGTTTGATACGTTCAAGTTCTGCTTAATTACCTCTGTAATTGCTGGAACCCTGCTGCTGACATTACTTTACATACATTACATACTTTACTTCGAGCCAGACGCGGGGCAACTGTGACAAGCAGGGTTTTTTTCAGTGGCTATAAAAGCTCAGTACAAGACCGCATTCTGTTATCTTGGCAGACTAAAACTTCCCCTAATAACTCCCTCCTTGGTCGTATACGGCTTGGCTGGTCGAGCGGCTGCATGGACGGCGGTGTTACCGCGGTGGATGTAGCCGAGGTCCACGTCGTCCACCTCAACGTTTGGAGTCTACTGCTTCAACAACATGCGGAGCAACCTAAGGTAGGCGGTGTTGACATCCGTCAACCGGTTTTGTTTTTGCCCGGACCTTATGTCCACCATATGTCTACACTTCCACATGCCATAGTTGCACTGTAAGAACGAAACAAGCCGTAGCACTGAATACATAATGTCATACCAATAGGTTTATAAGGGCTATATACGCAATTGTTTTGTTTGTCGTTAAACGCCGCACTCGGCAATATTCCAGCTGTATGATGGCGGTCTGTAAATAATCGGGTCTCGGCCAGACAATCCAGTGATTGACATCATGAGAATCGATTCACGCAATTGGGATGCGATAACATGCATCAACCGAGTCAGCGAATCTGACCACCCGATCCCGCTAGTCGCCTCTCACAACAAGCATTGTCGCGTTTTACGGCAAGCATGGGTTGCTGAAGACCCATTCTACCTCGGATCTTCACGGGTCTGTTGAATGACATCTTTTGCGAAATGTCAATTGTTGGCAGTAATAGCTATATACTGTTTTAGCTTTCACTCCAATCACGTGGTAGTTAACACTAATGACAGGAATAATAATTATGACCCCGCCTAAATTCACCATAAAGGATTTACGTCCCTTGGGTGTAGCAGGATCCTATGATCGTCTATTCGAATACATGGCTTCTTCCTGGTTGTGATCATTGTCTTTGTCCGCACCATACCCGGCGGCAAAGGGAAACTCGTGGGGTTGTGCTGATTTCACAATCATTAATAAACAATTATATAAAGTCTGTCGACTTTAGGTAGACACGGTTGTTGATGTAATGCAGACACCATTGTTGCCATAGCGTCGGTGACGTCACAGTCTACTAAATGTATACTGTACACAGCAATGTACGCCGCGTTACACCCGTCACTATGTAGGACACAACACTCTTGTGGGAAGCAGTCACCAAATAAATAATATCTTGTCCAATTCAGCGTCGGTGGTCCGAGGCAAGGGTTTGACCATTTCAACGAATGGTATACCCTATATTTAAAATGTGTTTTCCGACAACTGTCTGTTCGTGTCATCTGTTATTTACTTCTTAGTTTTTTTTGTAAATTGTATCTAGCAGCTGTCAACTGGGAGCGCAGACTGGCCAAGAAACGAGCATTAAAGTGCAGTAAAACATTCTTCAAGCTCAGTAAAGCACTTTAGCATTTATGAGAAGAGCATCAGTTAAATATCACTTGTTAAGTAGAATAACTACCTACCGTAACCTGTTCTGGTTAGCGACCAGTTATCGCCGAGGTCAAACTACCGAAACAGCGCGCACATGATCCCATCTCGTTTTAATTAGAAGAGAGAAATATTTACATGAAAAGTATGAACAAGACGGACTCTTGTGACGAAATATTTTAGAAACACACCATATAATCACCTTGTTCAAATACCACTTCAGTAAAAACACGCGGGTGGTGTCACGTGACTAATTCACGCGAAAATAAAAATCGAACATGCACATTCAGTTCTGTCATTACTTACTATCTGTCTGTCATTTCTTCCCAAAGAAACAATGCTAAAACCTATTTGAGCTATTTTCCCCAAACTACAGAGTTGAATTTCACTAGTGCACAGTAGCACATATATGAAGAATTTCACAAAATAATCACACGACACGACTTGCCCTCTTCTATGTTTCGGTTCAATCTTCAGGGAAATTATGATAAAGATAGAGAAGATAAAACTACTGCAACATGTACGACAGCAAGTCGGGGCGTGCATCAACAAAGTCAGCGTGGCTGGCCACCCGATCCCGTTAGTCCCCTCTTACGACAAGCATGGATAACTGAAGACCTATTCTACCCCGGATCTTCACAGATAAATAGAAATGACGCATTATATTAGTGATAAAAATAACGACTATATTTCTGTAGTGCCTGTAGGCATGCTCACAGCCCCACAGCGACCCCGTTATTACCCCAGTGTGTTCTCAAAGGTCTCAGCACCCTGAGGAATAGTGTGTTCGTGTGTCCACTATTCCGCCTTATGTTTCAATCCATGACGTTAGTACAACCTCAGTGTATCATTCAATCAGGTACACTGCACGTTCAAATAGTAGCCCGATGTATTGTCAAAACATGTGTTTCTGTATCCCAGGTTCGTGGTCATCCTTGCCTGCGTCATGCTGCTGTTATGGATCTCACTCAACACATCAGTTTTCCTTCAAAACCAGAGACCCGACACAATCCCGTGTAGACTTCCCATCACACATACACCCGAGTCCCACTCGAAGTCCGCCTGCACTGTGGTCACCCACGTCGCATTTCTGAAGGTGCACAAGGCAGGCAGTTCCACGGTGGCGAACATCATACAGCGCTTTGGAATCCAGAGAAACCTCTCTTTTGTTGTTCCCAAAAAACCGTTCCACGGGTTAAGCTACAACTACATCGGCGGGGCTCGGGACACCGTCAGCAGAGACAATGTCATTCCGCCGCCGGCAGGCACAACGTACGACGTGTTGTGGAACCACGTCGTCTACAATCGCAGTGCCTTCAAGAACGTCATGCCGGCGGACACCAGATACATCTCTATCGTCAGACATCCAATGGATCAGTTTGTGTCAGCTTTTGAATACTATGGCCCTGGACAGCACGTCACTGACGCGTTCTGGGGGCTTAAAGACCACCAATCTATTGTCAATGGCTTTCTGGATAATCCGTGGGATTTTGAAGACAAAGATGTCGTGATGAGTCATACCCTCAACTCTCTGGCATACGACTTCGGTTTCACGGACGAAATGATTCAGAACAAAACTAGTCGTTTTCTCTACTTGACACAGATGGCAGAAGATTTCCAGCTGGTGATGGTAATGGAACATTTCGACGAGTCACTGGTGCTTCTAAAGCGGTACTTTTGTTGGAGCACTAAAGATATTTTGTACTTACCCAAAAACAAGAATGAAAAAAAGAAAAGGCTTACATTCACTGACAAATATCGTGAACGTCATCGCCAGGTGGCAGAGACAGATTACGACATCTACGCCTACTTCCGGTCACTTTTCTGGAGGAAGGTTTGGGAAGAGGGTCCGTCGTTCCACTCCGAGGTGGCGCACTTCAAATATGTCAACTCAGTCGTCACTGATCACTGCCTCTTGAACAAAACTCTCCATGTGGCGGCAAGTCCCTGGGATGAACCCTACACGGTCAACTGGATGGATTGTCACTACATAAACAGCAACGAACTCGACCTGTATGACGTCATTTACAACAGCACGGTGGGCAGGACACAGCAGTAGGGTCCAGTAACACCTGAGAGAGAGAGAGAGAGAGAGAGAGAGAAGGGGGGGGGGGGGGGGGGGGGGGGGGGTTAAAAGATCGTACATGGAACAATCTTAGTTGACCTGTATTACACAAGCACTAAGTCATGGGCATTCATGCAATATTAATCTATAATGAGCTGTAACAGGTGGCATGTCCCTTAATCATCTAATAGTACTTTTGGTGTTTGACGTCAGTGCGCCAACTGTGCTAGACGATAAGGTTTTACTTTAATGTTTAAACTTTAACTTACATTTTGTATGCTGATGTAAATTATGTATATCTGTGTGTACATGTTTGTAAACGTATGCACGTAAAGGTCGGTGTGTGACAGTGTGCGATTACAAGTATCCTTGGTTACATCCTCTGGAGTTGTATATAATTGTAAAATGTCAGGTTATCTTCATTTTCCGCATAGACGACATTGATTGATTTGACATAGTACATTGCAGTCAGCAGATTAATATAGAAACCTGAACGAGCTTTCGCGAGTTCGATACAAGAACCCTTCAAGAGTGTCATCAACTTTGTATTACACGGGAGCTCGTTTAGTATTTTGTTTATTACTTGCCGTTTAAAACTGTTTAAAACCTCATTTGATGGAAACAAAATCAATGGAAACACTTCATCATATTTTCAAATTCATTGTTTTGCCTTAAGGCACTTAAAGTGTTTCGTCATATATCCTATAATCCTCGACTTCTTAGACCTTTTCAATCTTTCAACTGGCCAATGTGACATCTCTTTTGCTGGTTGCCAAGTCACGTAGGCATCTTGACAAACCGTTTTCCCCACTCCATATTCCGTATAGTGATTTCAAACCAACCATCAAAACTTATACCCGGGAAGATATGCAAAACTGGTGGGACACCCATGTAGGAATTAATAAACTTAAATTTAAACCAACAATCGGTCATACCTTCTTGGGTTGTCAGTCAAGACATGATATCACACAAATATCTGCTTAAGACACATGAGGACGAACCTCCTAAGTGTATCCCTTGTGATGAAAGGTTCACCGTCGAGCATATATTGCAATAGCAAGGGATTCACATTATCAAATAGTAGATCTGAAAGATCTCTTTTCCCGTTACGCGGGCATCTAATCTAAGCTACACGAAAGAAATTGGTCTGTATAATAAATTGAAATATGTATGTGAGTAACTAAATGTTTGTTTATAAAATTGGTGTGATGCTTCTCTCAACAAAGATTATCGAAGGCTCTGCCCAGGAAGTTAAAGTACCGTAAAGAGATTGCTCACCCCCCCCCCCCCCCTCACTCAGTTGATCGAACTATGGGAATTCCCGCCATAAACGATGAATACAATATGTCACTGTCGGGTGTGAATATGCAGACATCGACGCGATCCACTGTATAATCCATTTGACTTCAACAGAATTATGCAAACACATCGAAAGTTGACATGTATTAATTAGTCACAATAGAACCCCATGACGTAATTTGTGAAATCTTATTGCAAGATTGACCCGCACAACATGGCCCTGTGACGTCATCCTAGCACACAAGGTCGCATCGGCAGTACAAAAGCACGCGCTTTGGCATCAAACGATGTTTCATTCAGATGTATTTTTATTAAGGGGATACCTCTTGACGGATGGGTAATAAATAAGGATATTATTTGTGTTCTGTTCGTTATGATACATAACCCACGGGTTTCATAGCTGTCCAATATAGTTCACGTAACTGCAAAGTTAAGTAGCATATACAAGCCGGGCCGTTTAATTATCAATTAGTAAGAAATAGTATTTAATAACACTTATTACAGCGATGGCCCGGACCATGTATAATGTATCAGTCCCGGACCACGCATAGTCGATCAGGCCCGGTCCATGTATTATGTATCAGGCCCGGACCACGCATAGTCGATCAGGCCCGGACCATGTATTATGTATCAGGCCCGGACCATGCATAGTCGATCAGGCCCGGAACACGCAGCTAGCGAACTGAGATACCATGTCCAAGTTTAACATGGGCAACCCACCCAGACACTGTATATCGACTTCGAGCCATCCAGTCCTTGTTTCACCACCGTAATGACGAGCGCTAGTCAGGGTAACAATAAGTAGGCTACCACCCGTCAGCGTATTTTGGTATGACGCAGTCGGGGATCGAATCACCCATATTGCACTCTCTGGGCAGAAAGCGTGTCCCCACTGAAGTCGGAGGCCAAACCTATATACCCTCACCAGTTTCGTCTATAGACCCGTGAAGATCCGGGGTAGAATAGGTCTTCAGCAATCCATGATTGCCATAAAAGGCATCCATACTTGTCGTAAGAGGCGACTAACGGGATCGGCTGATCAGGCTCGTAGTAGTGCTGCCTGACATGTGTCACACCGCGCTGACTTAACCTAGGAAAGGATATTGGATATTTGAATTACAAATTCCGTTAAAAAACCTCGGCCATTATGTGTTATTGCATGTCATGAAACTGACCAATTGAATATATTTAATATCCTGTGCAATTTATAAGACAGATTGTAAAGCTTATAAAGCCATACTAATAACTTAATCAATTTATTATTTAAAGAATATTCCATGTGGACAGAGCGTACGGATAGATAAACTTCCAAATTAGACACACGTTAGAGATAGTTTGACAGGCATTGATAGGTAGATAAGCTTGCAGGTTTCTTTTCGGCTCCAGACGAAAGTAACGGCTAACGACACGTGAAGATGAATGAGCAGCTAGATACGGGAGAGAATCAAACGTGAACTGAATAACGTAAAGGCTTATTGGAATGTTAGTTGAGACCAAATGACTTACTGAAATATGTATTCATTTCTATGTTGTAGTTTGGTCAAAATATATCATTATAATACAGTGCTTAAAAGATGTCAATAACCCAAGGCCCATGCCAACACCCCAAGGCCCATGTCAACACCCCCAACACCCCAAGGCCCACGTCAACACCCCAAGGTCCATGTCAACGCCCCAAGGCCCAAGTCAACGCCCCAAGGCCCAAGTCAACACCCCAAGGCCCATGTCAACGCCCCAAGGCCCATGTCAACGCCCCAAGGCCCATGTCAACGCCCAAAGGCCCAAGTCAACGCCCCAAGGCCAAAGTCAACACCCAAGGCCCATGTCAATGGTGAGAGCATATATTACATAACATAATATTCACGGACATTCATCGCCCCAATAACAAAAGTACCGACAGTTTGCGAATTACAGCTGTATCGCATACATGGGCACAATACTATACGCTCTCTTGATTACCGTACCACAATCCTCATGTACAACCTCACGAGGCCTACAAATTCACTCTTGAATGCCCTTCACCTCATCAATAAACATCCTTATCTAGTCTCGACATACACAGTCTGTCACTACCGGGTACCCATTTCCATGGGCACTAAGTAATATATAATATATATAATAAGTAATATACTATATATATCACGTGACTCGAATTATGTGGGGCCGAGCTAAGAAGGCCAGGCGTTGACTTCAGTGTCGCTGGTTACTGTGAGTTGAGGCGTTTTCTTGTCGTACATGTTGCAACTTTGTTTCCACAACCAATGTTAGAAAACTGCGGGAACGGCAAGCCATGAAATAGTGTGGTCACCGAGTTGGTTGCTGTGGTTACCGAGTTGGTTGCCGTGATACCGTGACCGACGTGAATGGACGGCATTGGGCGGAGGAAGAGCGATACAGCAGCAGTCTTGTTTAACCGCTAAATGCATGTTGATAAATGCCGTACGCCGAGCAACAGGTGTAAATGCGGTTGTGAAAGTTTTCAAGGATTGCTAATTCTTTTCGGGGGTAGACTGCAGTTGACCCATTCCTTTGACCCGAGATAGACATAGTTCGGAGGCACCAGCGCCCGACTCAGGCTTGTGCGACTGCTGTGGCAAACAAACAAAACAATGGTTGGTTTCAATGTTTGTGATATGCCTGCGGTGCGGCATGAGAGATCTTTCACGTACTTCTTCCAACGTAATACTATTCAAATATTAGACAACTTAAAAGAAACAATCCCCCCCCCCCCCAAAAAAAAAAATGATGTGGATGCGCCATCTTGCATGACAGTAACGGAAGGACGATGTTATCACGGATACGTTGGACGACGGGGAGGTAATATGACGTCAGTCCATTATGACGTAGCTAAAAACGTTCAAAGTTCAGTCGGTGCCTTTGATCTTTCAGCAAAGTATCTTAGAATATTATCTATCTAAAAATTGACTTTCAATTTGTGTGAGTCCATTGGAGTATGAACCTTCTGAGAGTGAGGGCCAAACTGTATGAAAGTCGGAGCTGAAACACATCTTCTTATGGCGGTGGTTCAGTCCCCCGACGCGTCAAACTAAAATGGTAGGATATTTCTTTCTACACCTCCTACCGACATACTACTGATCGGATTGGCAAAATTAAAACAAAGATATTTAGTCAAGAAGTTTAAGCTTCGGTTATATCAAGATCTGATATCGTTCACTAATGGTCAAATAGCCAATTCCCTTTCACCGATTTTCCCCCACCAACTAAAAGAGACCAACCAAACTGCCTTACCTGTTTTATATTGAGATCTATGTATAAAGTTTAAGAGTTACTTGCTTGCTTGCTATAAGAATAGCATTGGCCTCAGCTGTAAAAATAGAACAATTACCTGGGAATCTTGAAGACACACTTTCAGATCCAATGACAGTGGCACTTGAAACTTTGCCACCATCCTTGGAGCCATCGGTAAAGATAGAGCGATTAATCAGATAAGTATAATATTTTGACCGCAATTGGGCATATTCTTGTTGCTAGACCAATAGGTTTGTGTCAGCTTTTGAGGGTAGTTAGTGTTAGGTCTACCTCAGGTTTGACTAGTTGCCAAGGAGGTGTAGACAGTAACCGGTATGGTGAGATAGTAGAAAGATCAATATTAGCTGCGATTATATGTTGCATTAATTCTGAACCGTAGAGGAAGAACAAGTTTTGGTTTTGATTGAAATAAATTTCCATACATGGGATTAAACATACAATCGTATGCTGGATTCGACGGATTTGAGTATAATTTATTCACATATTGCAATGACAGTTTAATTCGACGTTGTTTGAGAGAAGGCTCATCACCCTCTACATATAAGCTGTGAACTGGTGATGTTCTAAAGGTACCAAGACAAAGCCTCAGGCCTTGATGATGTACTGAATCGAATAATTTTTAGTTACTTTTACAGGCTCCGACATAAATGATTGAGCCACAATCGAGTTTGGAACGGATGAGAGGATATAAATTATCCCCTCCCCATTTTGAACGAGAAACGACTTTCAACAAGTAAATTGCCTTCAGACATTTATATGAGGTAAAAAAAAAAATGTTAAATTATTATCAAAAATAATACCCAAGAACCAGCCAAAAATAGTTCAGGGTCCTTATGCGGTTTATATTTGCATCAAAAATGGATACCGTTTGTTTTGACTTTAGAGAAGATAAACCCATTCTCTAGTGACCATTTCTGAATTTCATGGAGGCATAATGTAGCTGTCTCTCAATAGTGTGCATATTTTTACCACGACAAGATATGTTAAAATCATCTACAAAAAGTGATCAATCTACTGCATCACTTAAAACCTTTGAAAGACTATTGATTTTAATACTAAATAAAGTAACAGACAAAATACTTCCTTGTGGGACATCCTGTTCCTGATTATAATGGTCAGACAGGGTTGAACCCACTCGGACTTGAAATTGCCTGCCGGCTAAAAACTGTGACGTAAAATGTGGCAAGTGGCCTCTCAGATTAAACATGTAGTGTCGTAAACTTTCTCAAGATCGAAAAATATTGACACTGCATGTTGATTGTTGACAATAGCATTTTTAACAAACGATTCCAATCGTACTAAATGAACAATAGTTGTAGATGACAGAAAGGCACTGTTTTTTATTTAGCGGTATGCGGTTGAATGGCTTGGCTTGGACAGGGGTGGTAACTGCGGGTGGATGGTATGAGAGGAAAAAGCATGCGGGGTGGCGTGAAATTTGAAAGTGTGCATCGCTGTGAGTGATAACCTGATGTACGGCTGTTGTCAACGCTATGATTCTGCCACGAAATTTGTAAGTAATACATTGCATATGCATGCATGATATATTTATTTATGAAAGGGGTGTTATTTAATATATTGTTCGTTTAAAGCCAGAATTATTTGAGAGTTACCACCGTGTTGTGACGTGTGCATGTTATTACCGTATTTACCGTATTTTTTGGATTATTACGGAGTAAGTTTGTATTGTGACAAGATAGCTGTGTTTCGGACATGAGAATATGCAAGTAAGTTTGTTGTTTTGTATGGTTTCAGCTTGAACCTGCTTCGTATGGTATACGTTGAACCTGCGTCGTATGGTATACGTTGAACCTGCGTCGTATGGTAAACGTTGAACCTGCTTCGTATGGTATACGTTGAACATTGACTGTTTGGATCACAGAATAAAGCAGTGTGTGAGAAAATGCAGAATCTGATGTTTATTGACTTTTGAAACCCACAATAGTGCTTCAGTAGATTATTGGTTTCCAAGAACCAAACTAATCTATTATTCACCATTCGCTCCATGGTTTTACAGACACAACTGGTTGAAGAAATAGGGCGGTAATTTGAGGGATCTGTATGATCCCAACCAGGCTTTGGGATAGGGACTACAATGGTATTATACCCGACGTCAATATTTGGTCAAATATATCTAAAAGTGTTTCAAGACATGATTTAGGCAAATGTTTCAGGAGCTGATAGTGAATATTATCAGCACCAGCCGCTGTATCATGAGCTTGCCCAAGGGCAGTATGTAGCCCATGGAAGGAAAACCCTTCATTATAGTCTTCCCCGTTATCAGTTAAAATTAACATTTTCCTTTTCCTGTTGTTTCTGATATTTTAGGAATTCAGGGACATAATTAGACCATAACGAATGTTTTTCCAATGTTTCACCAGGTTTATTGGCAATGTCTGCTGTATCAGTTAATAACTGATCACCATCCTTAAGATGGTGAACAGAAGACTTTAATCCTTTGCCTTTGATTTTTTGTATCATGTTCCATACCTTGGACATAGGAGTGCAGGAATTTCTGTTGGAGTCAAAGTTCCTCCAAGACAGGCTATGAGATGTTGACTTGCTTGTACCTTTTACGCTTGTTCATGACATGATCTTCCCGTACTACTACGAGAGCCCGAACCAACATCGTCTGGGTCCAAGGGTTTTGCACTTGTGCAATAGTGCACACGTCAATGAATTTGTGTATGAGTCGATATATAACTTTAGCATTTTTTTCATTTCCAAATGACTCACATAAGTGGAAGTAAACCTACGGCCAAAAGAAACTTTATCAATTTAAAAATGACATTGCAAACATTTAAACACACAAGTTTAAACTAAATCAATGCAGAACACATCGTCCAAACACAACAATGCTCTATGCAGAACGTGAAACAGATCCACGACACATCTTTCGTAGAAAATACGAAAACGTGAAAAATATGTGTCGCTTGGGCAGCCGAAACTATACTTGCAATAAGGATATATAAATGATACCGGCATCCACAGAAATACAACGACTAACACCAGAACAACGCGATCGGGCCCTGGATATGATGCAGATGGAAGCCAGACGCCCACGTTTTGGTTGCTTCGTATTGCTGTAAATAACCTGATGTAACAAGATAGACACAATGTTTATGGTTAACAACTTCTTTAATACCGGGAAAAGCGACGTTTCGGTATAGATCCTTATACCGTTGTCAAGCAAGACTGAATGAGGGACATTGTACAGAATATATATAGTAGGTGGAGGATTAACAGTAGAGGATTAACAGTAACAAATTGTGTCTATCTTGTTATCCATCAACTTCTAAGTAATGCCTATCAAACAATTTAACCTGATGTAACATAACAGAACGGGCAGACATCAGACAGGCCCAGAACGCAGGGAGACCCTGGGTAACTACGCCCAATGAAGAAGGGTATTTGCGTACTTTGCATCTCCAGAATCGATTCCTGACAGTAAGGCCATCAGCGACGAATACTTAAGGGCATAAGTTATCAACACACAGTGGCCAGGCGACTCGGGGCTCAAGGAATAAGGGCTTACACACCTTAAAGAGGATAGTTATTGACAGCGCAACATCGTCGTCACAGATTGAGATTGGCCCGGAGTGTACGTGGTTTGGCAACAACGTGACTGGCAGAGGGTCGTCTTCACTGATGAAAGTCTGTTCTGTCTGTTCAGAGCTATTGGAAGACAGCGTGTTTCCCCAAAAGGGGAGAACGCGTGACGGCATGGAGCTTTCAGGATGTCGTGCCGCGGAGGAGTGGAATGGGTAGGAGAGAACACCACTGGTCATCGTTAACGGACATTTGATAACTCAGCGTTACATGGATGGCATTCTTCGTCCGATATTCCTACCATTTCTACAACAGCTGCCACAGTGTGTCCTCTATCAGCATGACAATGTCAAGCTCACAGACTGATCGACTTGTTGATGTTCAAGCTATTTACTCGTCATAATGTAACTATGTTAACTGTTGTGGTTTGTGATTATAAGGGTAACACTATTTTTCAGGGCATTATCATTTGCAGAAGCCCGATGTCTTCCATTCCGATGGCTTCTGCAAATGATAATGCCCTGAAAAATAGTGTTGCCGTTATTATAGCAAAAATGGATAGAATTTGTTATCAAATAAAAATAAACAACAACGTCGGTTTTGAAACATTTACTGCAATCAACACACAACAAATGTCACTGACCCACGTGACTACATTCGACCTTGGCCTTTGTTATCAATACTAACCACTGCTGCATGTTATGGTACAATTGTTAAGATTGGCGCTCACAAGAAAGTTCCTACAGCCCCCTAAACGGGAAACAGGTACATTTGAGGGAATGTCGGAGTCGTCTAAGGCGCCGCGATTCGCTGTGCAGAGTTGCGTCCCTTGGGCACGCCAGAAACCTATGATTGTGGGTTCGAATCCCGGTTCGCCCCGACTATGTTTCTAGGTTTGTCAGCACCATACCCGTGCTCGTGGGTTTCACCGAAGGGGTAAACGTCAGAGACCTGCATCACTTCGGGCTTTCCTCCCACATTAAGCTGACACGCCGCGATATGACTGTAATACTGTTAAAAGCGGCGTTAAACCCAACTCACACACTCACTCATGTTTCAAGGATTACTCCTCGACTTGTGTTTTGTGATGTTGCATATCTGCTTGGTGTCAACACCGGCATGGTGGAGGTATGTGATTGTTGATGCCCGGACAGAGCGACAAGTGTACACCTTGGACAAACCCGCCTTTCTCGATAGTTTCTGCATCATGGTGCTAAGGGTATTTTTACCTAAAGGGCCATAATTGTACCAAATCCCGGATTTCTGGAAGCACCTGCGTGGACTTTGTAATAGTGCATCACAATCTGGATGTAGTTTTGACAGGTAGAAGAGATAGACGCTCACCGGATTTGTTGCTGACTCATTCTCATAGATCCTGACATCCGAGCAATATTGATCGGAATTACTACCCCCTGCCAATTTTTGGTCTTCTCAGCCGATGCAAAGGTAAGATAGTGCTTATTGTTATCATCACATTTTAGTTGAAGTGTAGTTTTAGTAAAACCTCTCCATCCTTCGCGTCCCCGCCTCCCTGATAGGAGATATTTTATCCACATCTCCTTTCTCAATGCATGGTTTATGGTGTAGTGATCTCTCTCTCTCCCCCTCCCCCCCACCCAGGGGGTGCGTTAGCCCGTTCATAGAGCTCTTGAAACGACCAGTCAAGTTACGCCCAACACAGCTTTGTTACCCTTTATAAAGAAATTACTCTTAACGTAAAAAAAATAATACTGTAATTAAGTGTTAATATCGAACATATCGTCCCTTATTTTCCAAAAAAACAACCAACCTTGTAAACGAGGTTTTGTTGGAAATATTTATTTGTATTTGTTTTATGCTCTGTTTCTTATAATTAATTGAAATATTATTTATTCTTCCATATATTTTGTGCATTTTCTCGAAAACTGGAAGAGCCATGGAACTGGTGTATGTGCAACTTTCATATTCCAACGACCTCTTGACAACGACCACCTGGTTGTTATTTACAGGTAATCCTTTACTGGTCTTTACTAATATGTCATCAGTCATTTTTTCAATCTTGGTACATAGGTGTATCTATGGACACTATACAATTTACCTTACTACCTTGCGTCCATGGCAACGAAAAGGCGGCCTCTACAGCAACAGAGCTGATTGAACGATATTGAGAGATTTCGGTCAAATTTGGTATTTGGTACAATGTATTTCGGGATTCAACGCTATGGTGTTAGGAAAGTGATGGATATGAGGTCATCTTGTAGAGTATCCTACGGTACACCTTTGAACTACAGTAAGTTTGATAGAAATCGGTAAAAGGATAAGGAATGATAACCCCTTTAATAAAACCCGCACTGAGCAGCCAGGTGGTCATTGTGGAGAGGGAACCGAAAACTGACTCGTGATTTGCAAATCTAGTCAAAGTAACGATCAACTAAACCTGCGAAGATTCATGAACTTTCGATAATTATTATTTCATAGCGATGACCCTAAATGTAAAAATATAAATTGCGTGGGTCAATGCTCATGATGTCAATCACTGGATTGTCTGGATCAGACTCGATTATTTACAGACCACCGTCACCCAGCTGGAATATTGCTGCGTGCGGTTTTAAACAACAAACAAACAGATAATGATAACTGAAAAACTTCTATGCATAGTCCAATCAAAATCGGTCGATTGCAGGATTTGCATAGCATGGACACCGTCAACTCCGCGTTGAAAGATATGTTCAAAATATTTTCATTTATTTTTTAATCAAGGTGCTCAAATAATTGAATACACTTCGCGCAGTTAGACCCGTTTTATTACAATATAGATCTTGATCGAGATCGTCTTGACTTGAGCGCTGCAAGTTTTGTTTGAAGCAAATGCAAGGTAATATGAGAGGTTGAATCTGATTGGGCAGTTGGGGAACAAAGAAGGGACATAACTCGTATTAGCCACTGGTGGCGCTACGATCGAGCCATCCAGCCTAGTTCCGCACTAGACTTGCATAGTCAGTTAACACCCTTGCCTCGGTAAAGCTGACATGTGAACTTGATGGGTAAGCATGGTAAGGTGAGCTAACTCTCACAGGGGGAAAAGAATTATCTGTTCTATATACCAGAGAATTACTCACAATTTAGCATTATAGGTCCATAATATTTAATTTTGCATTTACAGGGATTGCTTGAGGCTTGGTGTGAAAGTGTGAGACTGGCTTACCATAAATGTAGACCATTTTTATGACTTGGTGACTTGGTGTCTTGGGCATTGGAATCCTCAGACCACATGGCTTGAAATGCATGACCCCAGAGCATTTACCTCACATTGTTACAGGTATGGTAGGGTAACCTCAGTGTAATATACTACGTACTGTTCAGCATAAACATTAAATATATCAGAATATACCAATTACCAATGTGGGATATCACTTAACTGCAAATACGGGCGACTAAATACTACATTGTTTTGTTTTTTATGAAATTGCAGACATAGTTGCTGTTTCGAATTCGGACAAGAACGAAAATGAAAGAAAAATCTGAAACCCACAAATAACCTTATATCAGACGTTTACGTGTATTTTAATATCAGGTATCCTTAAGTTTATAACCATTCGAGTTATTGAGTGATTATTGTTTAATGCCATATTCATCATTATTTCTGCTGCATCATGTCATGGTTGCATCCAGTTCAGAACATCTCTTGGACTGATATAGTCTAGAACAGTTTACGGGTTATGTGTAAACGAATCTTCGAATGCAAACGCTGAATCTATTCAGTAATGATCACACTTAATCCACAATTGTGTACATAAACAGTGAGATTTTGATTAATTTCACATACAAGCCTTGCATTCATTAATTGGAGAACTTGGAGAAATGTTTGTTTTTTGTCAAATTGTTTTATTACATGTGTTTTCTTCCCACACACTTCTCCTGGAAATATATAGCATCTATAACACATTTACGCATTGAAACGTCGTATGTCCAGACAATACTCCTTCAAGCACAACTGATCATTTGGTGCCATTCTGATGCCTTCACAGCATAGATCCCTTATCTTGACCTGTATGTACCTGTTGACTTGACTCTTAAACCTGAAGACATGTCCATTTCTCTTTTGTACCGGATTCCAAAGCTCCATAAAAATATGTACAAAGAGAGATGTATTGCTGGGTCCAGCAAAAGTACAAAAGTAAAATTAATGAAAACTTCATTCCTTGCTCTTTGGGGCTTGTGTTACCCATTGATACAAACCCTAAATGTACATGCATATATTCCACATACTTCAGGATCATGAATAAAGATCAAAACATCACGAAACGATATGGGTAACTTTATCGACCAAATTACACGAAGAGAGTGTACTAAAACGTCCCGGAGAAGAGCCTGGAAAAGACACAATTGGTCAAACAAAGATTAGTGATTAAATGTGACAAAA